GCACGTTTGGCCACGAGCGTGGTTGTCGGGGCTGGACGCGTTTCACAGCGTATAGGTGAATGGAACAGACGTTCTTCAGCTACCTTGTTTCGAATCGGAGGCGTACTCATGTAGTGACCCTGGAGGCTACGTGCTCCCGTGATGGAAGTCATGATATGTATTAATGTACGCGCAAACTTCACGATAAAAAATGGAACGCAGACACGCAAAGCTACACAGATCGAAACCTGCGATATTGTTGCACATCAAGCAAGAAACTTTGCGCGTCTGCCGCGAACTGAGTTTGTAGTGGACGATTTGCGCGCCTGTGGCAAAATGGGTCTTTAGTCGGAACTTTGAAGCTGCACCCCTCCCCCTCACCCACCCCGTTGTGAGTGGCTGCGCATATGTTCCTGTTTCGGATTCGTCGTGGTCGAAGTCTGTCACTGAAAACATTCGTGCACGGAGTGCATGACTGTCAATCCTCTGCAGTTGAAGTCGCAATGTCTGCGCCGAGGCCTTTATGACAGTTTAGTGTCCAAGCGGCTTCCATCTGTCCGCAAACCTCGCCTCAGTTTGTGTCCGCGTTGTGTCAGACTTTGGAGCCTGGCCATGGGTGCGCGCGCTCTGTCGCCGGTCGGTCCGATCGCCGCTGCTCTAGAAGGGAGCCGCGCCGGCACGGCGTGCATGTGCCTGGGAGGGGCCGGGGTCAGGGCGTCGGGGAGGGTTCTGTGTTTCTCGGTCGCCGTCGTGATCACACCGACCCAATTTTCGCCCGGCCGCGGGTTTGTCCGGGTCGTGACGTCACGCTGACTCAGCGGTTCGGCGCCCCGGGAGGCGTGGGCGACGCGAGCCCGCTGCGCTGTTCGGGAGGGGGGGGGGGGGGGGGGACAGGGAGCGACGCCCGGGGGTGATCCGGTGGCCTGCCGACCGCGGCTGACTGCCGTCTGCGATAACAAACGGACACGCTGCAGCAGACGCTCGTGAAAGTGTTCCAGAAGTTACCTTAGTGTGACGCTCAACGGCTGGTTTGCCTGACTTCTCATGACAATATCGAAGGAAGGTGGGAAATTAACCCGATCGACCAATGCGGCTTTTCCCCTTCCCGTATTTTTGCCGATGACCGTTCTGGGATATAGCGAATTTGAAGGCGTTTTGCCTGTCGAGGCATGGTAGCAGTGTTGGTATGAACCCACTTCTTCGGCGTGGTTTCGTCCAACGCCCCAGTGCCCGCGAGGCGAGGAAAAGAATCCACCCAGACGACCTGTCAGTTGCTATGCGACGTCCATGGCTGCTCCGAGAACCGCAAGCGGGCGCTGTTCCCGGAGCTGTAAGGGATTGTGTTGAAGTAAATGTTAAGCCCCGGGCGCACTTTGTCATCGATGTACTGTCTGTGACACTGATTGAGGATTTCACCCAGGTCCAGAACTTTGATAGAGAATTGGGAGCCTCGACTGGCAGGTTCTTGGCAACCTTCCAAACCGAGTATGACTCACACCAATGACCCTGAGGCTGCAAGGTCGTCATGGCTGAGGCTCGTCAGTCGGTTTCCTGTGCAGTTCACAGGTGCTGTTAGGACGCCCGCCAACTGTTTGCTTGCACATCATCATTGCTCACATACACGCGTAATGTTACCGCGCACGCATACATGTGTAACGATGGACGATCCGCCAGTACGCACTTGCCGGCATATGACGTCATATGAGCGCCACTGTAAGGCATGGCTACAGCTGGTACTCCTCGTGCTGCCCGCAGCAGACGTCACGCCCTGTCACGTGACGGCAGAGTGACGTCACCCCCGGCGTCGGACGCGCTCGCGCCTGTGCCTGTACAGCGCGGTCCGAGTCACCACTTGTTACGGCGGGCTGTGGCACCTCTGCACCGGAACGCGTGTATGCTGAACGGAGCTAAGGACGGGTCTCATCGCGCGAAACACAGCGGCTGCTTGCGCCTCTAGCCAGGGCGTGGGGTCATCGGAACGCACGCGCTCAGACTTGTTCGACGCGCTCAGACTGCAGGCCTGGTCGAGCCGGTCGGACTGCAGGCCTGTTCGAGCCTGTCAGACTGCAGGCCTGGTCGAGCCGGTCGGACTGCAGGCCTGCTCGAGCCAGTAAGACTGCAGGTCTGGTCGAGCCGGTCGGACTGCAGACCTGTTGGAGCCTCTCAGACTGCAGACCTGTTCGAGCCGGTCAGACTGCAGGCCTGTTCGAGCCGGTCAGACTGCAGGCCTGGTTGAGCCGGTCGGACTGCAGACCTGTTCGAGCCGGTCAGACTGCAGGTCTGGTTGAGCCGGTCGGACTGCAGACCTGTTCGAGCCGGTCAGACTGCAGGTCTGGTCGAGCCGGTCGGACTGCAGACCTGTTGGAGCCGCTCAGACTGCAGACCTGTTCGAGCCGGTCAGACTGCAAACCTGTTGGAGCCGCTCAGACTGCAGACCTGTTGGGGCCGCTCAGACTGCAGACCTGTTCGTCGAGCCGGTCAGACTGCAGGCCTGGTCGAGCCGGTCGGACTGCAGGCCTGTTCGAGCCGGTAAGACTGCAGGTCTGGTCGAGCCGGTCGGACTGCAGACCTGTTGGAGCCGCTCAGACTGCAGACCTGTTCGAGCCGGTCAGACCGCAGGCCTGTTCGAGCCGGTCAGACTGCAGGCCTGGTTGAGCCGGTCGGACTGCAGACCTGCTGGAGCCGCTCAGACTGTAGACCTGTTCGAGTCGGTCAGACTGCAGACCTGTTGGAGCCGCTCAGACTGCAGACCTGTTGGGGCCGTTCAGACTGCAGACCTGTTCGTCGAGCCGGTCAGACTGCAGGCCTGGTCGAGCCGGTCGGACTGCAGGCCTGTTCGAGCCGGTAAGACTGCAGGTCTGGTCGAGCCGGTCGGACTGCAGACCTGTTGGAGCCGCTCAGACTGCAGACCTGTTCGAGCCGGTCAGACCGCAGGCCTGTTGGAGCCGCTCAGAGTGCAGACCTGTTGGAGCCGCTCAGACTGCAGACCTGTTGGAGCCGCTCAGACTGCAAGCCTGTTCGAGCCGCTCAGACTGCAGACCTGTTCGAGCCGGTCAGACCGCAGGTCTGGTCGAGCCGCTCAGACTGCAGACCTGTTGGAGCCGCTCAGACTACATACCCGTTGGAGCCGCTCAGACTGCAGACCTGTTCGAACCGCTCCGCTGGCCAGGCGCAGCCGTAATTACAGCGCACCCGCTCGTCGCTTGACCTTGTCGAAACGATCGGCCAGCTGTGAGCGGGACGGCAAAAGCTGCCGCGTGGAGCGGCATCGCTCAGTGGCTCGTGTTCTGGTGCTCTCCGAGAGCACTGGTGCGTCGCCATTGCATCTTTCGCTTGCTGGCAATGCCTTGCTCGGTCTTCATCGTTTGCTGCTGGCCGTGCTGGCCTGAGTCCCCATGCCCTCCAGTTGTCTGCTCTTTCTTAATTTTGTTTCCTCCTACCCACCCACGTTCATTTTACTACCTGCCTATTCGTCATTTCCTTGCCCGTTTTTTTCTGTATGTTTTTGGAGCTGTTTTTGTCGCATGTTTATAACTGTGACCATCAGCGACGCGGCCTGAATTTCACCACTCGTATGCAGTTTTTCAATCTCACTGCATTCTCCTCGTAGCCGCCTCCAACGATGGCATGCTACCACTGACCCGCGTTGCATTTCTGTACCAGTTCCAACTTAGCTTCGTCTATCCTAGATTTCGTTGCCAGTGAAGTTGTACCGACAGCGAGTCCCTCACATCCCGTCAGCACCCAACCGTGAGCGTGCGGTGCCGGCCTCCTGCCTGGTGTCCGCCCGTCGCCGTGCCAGCACGGTATGGCGCCGTCCCGCCGCGCTTGCAGCGTCGCCGCGCCGGCGCCACAGCCGGCGGCGGCGCAGGTGCGGCAGCCGGCTGGTGAGCGGCGGAGCAGCTGCGGCTGGGCCGCCCTGCCGCCGTCACCGGCGCCATGCCTGGAGCGATCGGCGACGCCGGCGGTGCGCCGGGCCAGCCGCCGAGGCGGCACACCAGAGCCGGCCGGGCCGGTCACCAGCCAGCCGGCGCGCGACGGAGCCACGACGCGTGGCATGTTGTGTCCGCCCATCCGCCCGTTTGGAGGCTGGCGGCCGGCTCTGGTGCGTGCAAACATCCGCCTGAGTCACGCGGACGCGTGTGTGGCGACCTTGTCCAGATCGCGCCTCGCATGCCTGGCGTGCGCGGTCGGCCGCGCGGAGGAAAACGGCCGACTTCGCTTTCCTTTCACGTGATCGGCTGTTCTCGGGGACGGACCGACATGGCAGCTGTTACGCGTCGCATGTATTTAGCCGCGAACTGCCACACGGCCGGTGGGATGTCCGGGGGCAGCTGGTCGCCACATTGCAGACGAGCGCTGTCTCGAGCTCCCCCGTGAGCCGGCTCGGTCGGCGCTCGGTGGCTCGGAGCTGCTGGGTGAGGCGCCCCGCGGACGTTGGGCGATCTGAAGCGGGGGGCAATGCCCGTGAGCGATTTCCGGCGTTTGTGACGCAGGCGTCAGGCCGTGGCGACACTGCATCGGTTTTGTAGCGGGACTAGTACAGAGCCCGCTCTGCGTACTGCTCAGCGCGTCGACCGCCGAGCGATACAGCATAAGACGCTTGCGGTCGTCGAGAACGGGAGCAATCCCATTAGCGTGCGGTTGTGAGCGTGCGGTTTCAGTCATGCAACATACACTAGTCACGGACGATGCACTGGCGTTTCCGAAGGCGAGCCCGGTGTGCTTTTTCCCTATCCTTGCTACGATGCCGTGACCCATGCAGTAATGCTGCTTTCCTGCTGGTTAAGATAACCCTTTTCATCAAGGATCAGCATCACTCAAAAACGTGGCGGCATCTGCCTGTGTTTCTACGACGTCAGTATTTGTAGCAGGGGTGAATGCGAACGCGAAGCGAGCCCGGTCTCGTGTGCGCCTCTGACCCCTGCGCTTCTGCGTCGGCCGAGTCCCGGCGGCGATGACGCGCCTATGCGGCCGCTGGCTCCGACCGCCGTGTTTACCATGCCGCCGACCTGCCGCAGGCGATGGCCAAGGAGCACACGGACGTGGTGTTCCTGAAGGTGGACGTGGAGGAGCTGGACGACCTGGCTGCCGACTACGAGATCAACTGCATGCCCACCTTCATCTTCATCAAGCAGGGCGAGAAGGTGCGTCGCCGGGAGCGGCGGGTCGGCCCGGTCGCGGCATCTCGGGCGACCGGCGGGCCGGAAACGCCGCGACCGCTGACGCAGCCGGGGGGGGGGGGAGGGGGAGAGGGAGAGGGAGAGGGAGAGGGAGAGGGAGAGGGAGAGGGGGAGGGAAGGCACGTACTGCCACAGCCGACACGCAGCATCATGCCCCGCCTAACTAGACATTCACGTTTTTTATGTAGTTGGGCAATTAGCAGGGTGTGAGAGGCATCAGCACTTCACCTCCACAGACGTGTACCCGCACTCACACGATTGATAGTCCGGTCACCCTGGCACGGGTAGCGCCTGTAACCTCTTGTTATCATATGCTGGCATGGTGCCGAATTCGCAACTGGAAGCGAGACGTATTTGGATGGCAGTACCCTCTCGGCTGCGATACTCAACGACCCAAATAGTTGGATAATCTACTGTCGCCCTTGACTCAGAAGGGGCCCGCTATGGGTTTTGCGGGCCGTGCTGTTGATGCTGCGCGGGTCAGCTGGCCAACGCTCCGCTCGGGCGGCGACGCCGGTCGATGAACCAAACGTGGGCCGCGACGCATCCAGCGCCGTGTCCAATAGGGCGAAGTGCGCCGATAAAGCGACGCTCCCTGGAGCGCGTCGCTATGGCTGGGAACGGCAGCCGGACTCGCCGTCCCGTGCCAGCGGCCGATCGGAGCGCTCGATGGCGCGTGCTTTCATGCGGCCCGTGGGTGCCGCTCTGCTCCAAATGGGTTTGTGTGGGCCCTTGCACAATGGCTGGGCCATGACCCGGTAATTGGTTCGGTTTAAACGCGCGATGCCCATGTCCCTTTCAACAGACCACATGTCGACCGGTAGGCCGAAACTGCCTCCTTTGTACATCAATGTTGAAATGCGCCTTTGTAGTTGGTGGCCCATCATGGGAATTTCCTGCCGTTGCCATTGGTGTCAAAGGCCATTTGCGCCTAGGAAACCCGGCATGTCATGACAGAACTAAAAGTTGTCAAAACGATGACTGGTGTGTGCCAATGTAAACATCGGGTGACGGACCCATGCCTAATGGCGCGACTTTTAACTCATGTCGTCGGTCTCTCTCTGTCTCTGTCTCTGTCTCTGTCTGCCCCTCTCTCTGTCTGCCCCTCTCTCTGTCTGTCCCTCTCTCTCTGTTTCTGTCTGTCCCTCTCTCTCTCTCTCTCTCTCTCTCTCTCTCTCTCTCTCTCTCTCTCTCTCTCTCTCTCTCTCTCTCTCTCTCTCTCTCTCTCTCTCTCTCTCTCTCTCTCTCTCTCTCTCTCTCTCTCTCTCTCTCTCTCTCTCTCTCTCTCTCTCTCTCTCTCTCTCTCTCTCTCTCTCTCTCTCTCTCTCTCTCTCTCTCTCTCTCTCTCTCTCTCTCTCTCTCTCTCTCTCTCTCTCTCTCTCTCTCTCTCTCTCTCTCTCTCTCGCTCTCTCTTCTGCGCTTTCCCTCCAGCGTTACGTCCGCTGCGCCATATTTGCCGCTCTGACCGTCCCGCCGCGTCAGATCCGCCACTCTGACCACGTCCTTTTTCGGCAGGTGACCAGCTTCTCGGGCGCCAACGCCGACAGGCTGCTGGAGCTGGTGACACAGCATAAGTAGGCGCTTGTACCGGCCGCCGCCGCCGCCCTCCCGCACAATCCCGCGCGCGCCAGCGCAGTGCCATCTTTCGGCGGCGTGCGGTCGCCGCGCCCCCTGCCGGGCCGACATTCCAGCGCGGCGCGGGGCTGCGTCTGGCCTGCCTCGCACCGCAGCCCGCCGGTGGCCGGGCGTCCGGCTGAGAATGACCAAGTGTTCTTCACTGTTGCGCCTTATCCTGTATTTGCACAGTTTTGTTATTGAATTGATGACTTCTTGGTCTTGTGAGGCACGTAGGATTGAACAGCGGTAAGTTAATATAGTTGGATTGCGTTTCGCTTCAGTCTTTGCCCTGGTTCGAGGTCGCAGTGGATCGCTAGCGATTCAATTTTCCTTGCGGAGGACATGCGGAATCGGGCAGTGGCTCCAGCCCGCGGTAGGTCAATACATTGAATAGTTTCTTTCACAGGATTGTCCAAATTGCTGCAGTTGCGGGTGCTGCACCGCCAAAAGCTCGAAATGGTCACGTGCCATGGATTGGACCCGTCTTGCAGCGGGAGGGCTGAGGGCGGCAACACAGTACCGTTGCTGGGGATGCAACTGAGGAACGCCCATGCTCTACCTCACTGAATGCGCACTGACCTGCTTTATTTTGTGTGTCATGATGTGCGGCAAGGTTGAAGACTCAGTGTTTTCAATCTCACCACATATGACGTCGTTTTATATGAACTTGTTCTCTTCTACGAAATATACCACCGTTGGATTGTTGAGACAGCTTTGCTGGGTCCCGATCACTGATGATTTGTTGTGCCTGTTCATATCTGTGTTCACCAACGCGCGGACCACTGAACGCATGTGAGCGGCACATTGCCCAAGCGCCCCGCATCGGCTTAGACTCGCACTGCAGTGTGAATGTTGACGGATTATTTTGCGAAGTGTAAGTTGCACCTATAAGACAAAAACATGTCAAATTGCAAATAATGACAAACAGATCAGATTCTAGAACACGAAATAATGCCCCAACACTGGCTTTATCGAATTCAATGTGTTGGTTCATCATAATATATCTTGAAAAACTGTCTTCATATCGAAGTTCGGGTACGCCTATCTGGCAACACATGGGGTAATTGACTGTTTTGCTGCAGGTGGGACTGTTTCTTCAATGTACTGAGCGGGAACATTGTCAGTAGCAGTCGGACATTACAAGTCGTCGGTAGGTGCAAATGATTTCAGCAGCGCCGCGAAGTGAGCGGCACGGTTACGGAGGTCGGAGTCTGAACGTGCGCGGGAAGCGAGCCGTAGCGACGGAGGAAAGGAGCCCCGCACCGTGCGCCGCTACAACCTGCAGGGCCCCGAAGCGACCGTTGCCGGGTGGCTGGAGCGGTGTGGAGCTGCCGCTCCCGGCTCCGGTGTGGAGCTGCCGCTCCCGGGTCTGGTGTGGAGCTGCCGTCCCCGGCTCTGGTGTGGAGCTGCCGCTCCCGGGTCTGGTGTGGAGCTGCCGTCCCCGGGTCTGGTGTGGAGCTGCCGCTCCCGGCTCTGGTGTGGAGCTGCCGCTCCCGGCTCTGGTGTGGAGCTGCCGCTCTCGGCTCTGGTGTGGAGCTACCGCTCCCGGCTCCGGTGTGGAGCTGCCGCTCCCGGGTCTGGTGTGGAGCTGCCGTCCCCGGCTCTGGTGTGGAGCTGCCGCTCCCGGCTCTGGTGTGGAGCTGCCGCTCCCGGCTCTGGTGTGGAGCTGCCGCTCCCGGCTCTGGTGTGGAGCTGCCGCTCCCGGCTCCGGTGTGGAGCTGCCGCCCCCGGCTCTGTTGTGAAGCTGCGGCCCCCGGCTCTAGTGCAGCTATGGTGCGAAGCTGCCGTATCTCGTCTCTGGTGCAACTATGATCCGGAGCTGCTGCTCCCCAGCTCTGGTGCAGAGCTGGAGCCCCTGGCTCTGGTGCGGAGCTGCCGTCCCCCGCTCTGCTGCAGCTAAGGTGCGGAGCTGCGCCCCCGGCTCTCTCACAACTTTGGTGCGGAGCTGCCCCCGCACGGACGGCCCGAGGCGGCCAGTCAGTGCGCGGTTCAGGCCCTGCCGCGCCTGCGCTGACCATGGCGCCATCTGCGTGATTGGCTCCACCCAAGACTACGCCACCAATACCAGCGATGGCAACGGCTGCAGCGACAGCAGCGCCCTCACTGGCGACCCTGTGGCCGGGGGACCAGAAATGCTAGTGACCTGCCAACGTCCTTAAGAAATCCATTCCATATCTCGTGTCTCCGAGTCGATGTAAACAGCGCCCTCTTACCACGAGACGCCCGACGGCGTGCGGTAGCGGCTGTGTCGGCGGGACGCCACCAGCCGTGCTTGGGACGGGACGCTGGTCTCGGCTCTGGCCGGGACAGCACTGTGTGGTCCCAGTGCTGCCCACTCTCGCCGCGGCCTAGCCCCGACCGGGAGACGCCAACTCGCTTTGCCGTGCGTGGGTCGGAACTCAACCGAACTGACTTGTGAAAAAGAAATTCACGGACGCTTACCGGAACTCGCGCGATGGAAGGAAGGCGTGAGCTCGGACTCAAGACTGCGACTCAGCGACGACTCTGACACCGACGGAGCGGTGCTCCTGTGGCCGTGTTGGCACAGTGCTCCAGCGTTTGCACTGCAGCGGCTCGGTGGCTTGCGCTATCTGCATAGTTACCGACACTTGATGAACATGTTAATCATTCACGTGGCATGGCGCCCATGTGACATGACATCCAGTCTGACACACCTGGTACCCGAGGCCACCACACGAAACACCTGCGTCGCATTCAAACTGCTAGGCGACTCTTGCCAGACGCGTGTAGGCCATTTGTTACACAAGACGTCCAGGTGTCGCCGCCACCTGTCCAGTACATGCGGCGGCGGCACCGCCGGGCGACGTCTAGGCAGACCTGCATGATCCAGAGTTGTGCAGTTTCCCAAGCTGATGGCATCACGTTTTGCATAATTCAGAGGCTGCTCAGATATTCTGGTCACTAGGCACTTGGACCGCCCCGGGCCAGCGGTAGCGGCCAGCGGCTAGCGGCTGGCGACGAGTGCTAGCCGGTGCCCGTGGCCCGCAATAGCGGTCTCAGCCGATGACGTCGCTCGCAGCCACGGTACTCATGCGGGTCGCTCCCCCGCCCTGTGGCAGCGCCGCGCATCCAATCGAGGCGGTCAAATCGGCGGCCGGTCGCATATCCGGCAACTGAATAATGATAGATGTATTGCGCTACGACAGAGTCCCTGAATACGGCAACTGAATCCTGATAGATGAATTGTGCTACTACAGAGTCCCTGAAAACCGTAACAACGCCCACAGAGTGCAGTCGAACAGCCTACCGTCGCCGCGCCCCTGTCAATCCCCGCCGGCCGGTGGGTGCGCGAGCATTGCAGGCCGTCGACTCCACGTACAGGGTACCGCCCTCAGTCCGCAGCGCCACATCTGACACGGCACGGCTCCCCGTGGACAGACGGCCGCGGCAGTGCAGGCAGAACGTGCGATGTGGCCGCGCCGTCTGGCCAGCCCGCGTCCTGCGCGACGCACGGAACGCGACAAAAAACAGCACAGTGAGGGTGAAAGGAAGATGAGAATGGAGCAGCGCGGCCAACGCATAGAAGCTGGCAAGTGACTAAAATATCATACAGGCAAGTGTGTACTTGGCTGCGGCAGCCTTGTGCACCATCACAACTGTACACAAAGGTCACATAAAATGCGGCTTGAAGGGGCAAACAAAGTGACGTTAAATTTACGACCAACGTGCAACTTGACAGCACAGTACATCTTGTCAGACACATTCAACTTCGAAGCTGAACAAACGATAACGTGACATTTAAATTCATACTCGGCCGATACAACAAACTCGGCGCAATGGACGAGCCCATGGACATCAACCGGTTTCACGCGTCCACGTGATTCTGCTCTCGCGACGAAGAACGGAATGTGCGCACACCACGCCGCCATTCCGAATAGCGGACACCCAAATACATCAGACTGCGCCATGGAGTCAGAAAACGGCAGCTGTCTGTCCGGAAAAAGACCGACGCAGATACGTGTCGTTGCGCGTTGCAATCCTGCGTTCTCAGAGAAATCGCAGTGACGTGCGAGCCGCCCACGTGGCGGTCGTGCAGAGTGGAAGGGGCGGCTAAGCGCGCCCGGCGGCGGTGGTCCGGCCGCGGCTGGCGGCGGGCCAAGCTCGCGGGGAAGCGAAGACCCCGTGCGCGGCAGAAGCTCGCAGAGGAGAAGACGGCCGGCGGGCCGCACAGCCACGACATACAGCCACGCAGACGGCCGGCCAGCCCAGACCGGCAGGCACGCGAGTAAGGCCACGGCCGGGCCGCCGGCGCACCGAGACGCGCCGGCAGCAGCAGACAACCCGCTCTTACCGACGGGAGACAGACACACAGACACACATACACACGCACACACACAGGCCCACGCCACGAGCTCATCCGTGCTCTGGCTATCACGAGGAGCAACGATTCCACCTATTCCGGCCCCCCGCAGAGTGCGCAGACCACTCCGCGCCAGCTCAAAACACAGGCGAAGCGCGCCGCATAGGAATGCCCAAATAACAAAACAAGAAGCGGCCAACCGGCTCGAACAAACAGCACGTGAGCCGTTCACGCTAAAACGCCAACTGCCCGCCGGACTCCGCCGACGAGTCGGCACGCGCTGCCGGGCCGCCGGCGGCAGCAGCGGCACACCCTCGGCGGCCAGGGCAGAGTCAGCGGCCGGAGCCGTCACGGGCGGCGGCCAGCGGGCGGCGGTCGGGACGCGGGCGCGCTACATGGCGCTCGGCTTGCTCTCGCTCAGCTCGTGCTCCGGCAGCCGGGTCTCCTGGTAGCGCTTGGCGAAGCGCAGGCAGGCGAACAGCGCCACCATCAGCAGGACGGCGCAGGCCATGAATATCACCTGCGAGGACGCCAACGGCCCACTGAGAGACCCGCACGCGGACCAGACAACACGGGGCATATCGAACCATCACAATACATCACGAGGGTTGCAAGCTGAAATTAGGATTAGAAATTAGAACTAAGCTAAAAAGACTTTCAGGTCCGGTTTGTATACATGATGAGTTAAAAGTTCTCATGCTGAGTAAATGACCCTCAATATACCAGGAAGTAGTGCTAAAACGATGCGTAGCGCCAAACAACATTCAAAATGGCGGTACTTAAAATTCGAGTAGCGCCTCAAAAATAATATACAACATAAGCTCTCATGGATGCGTGCAGCTCGAGACTATTGACTAGCGCTAATAAAAGAACTGTTAAGCACTGCAACACCATTTAACCGGCACCTCCTGGAAAAATGAAGGCCGTTAAGCATAAGAACTTTGAACTCGTGGCGCTGAAATGAGACATTCGCGAACACGCATCTGCAGACACAGGTGCAGGCCAAATAAAGGAGTCGATAACCTGCCGAGTCAATGCAGATAGCCTGCCGCCGTCGACAAGCGTGGTCCGCCGCGGGCGAGGAGGGGGGCGGGGCGGGACGGGACAGGCCGCGGCCCGTCCCCACTGACCTGGGTGCCGCCGGCCGCCTCGCCCTGGTGCAGCCAGAGCAGGCCGCCGCACGTGATGAGGTTCATCGGTACGCGGAACCAGTTCATGATGGAGGCGCGCTGCTCCTCGGGGATCACCTGGCTGCGCAGGTAGCCCATCGACGGGAAGTACATGCCGACGGCCAGCTGCCGGCGGAGCCAGAGGTCACCACAGCGGCCAGGCCATCACAAACGTAATGGGTGACTGCTTCCGCCAGGGATTCTAGTCGATGTGCCGGCAAGGAGGCTACGGCACCGACCGGGATATCACGGCACCGACCAGGCTATCACGACACCGACCACGATTTCACACCGACCAGGCTATCACGGCACCGACCAAGCTATCACGACACCGACCAAGCTATCACAACATTGACCAAGATATCACCATCCTGGCCAGGATACCACGGCACCAACCAGGACACCGCAAGCATCGACCAGGACACCACGGTACCGACCGGGATATCACGGCACCGACCAGGATATCACGGCACTGACCAGGATATCACGACACCGACCAGGATACCATGGCGTCAACAAGGACACCACGGCACCGACCAAGATACCACGGCACCGACCAGGATATCATGGCATCCACTAGGATATCACGGCACCGACCAAGATACCACGGCACCGACCAGGATATCATGGCATCCACTAGGATATCACGGCACCGACCAAGACACCACGGCACCGACCAAGATACCACAGCGCCGGTCGTAGGTCCGTCTCCAGTGGGATCTGAGGGTGGTGCCACCGAGGCCCGGTCCCAGGGATTTTGCCAGCCTTACGAGTTCTGGGATCGTGCGAAATCTACTGTCTGGTTTAAGCCACATCGTGCTAACCATATGAGGCAGTCCACCACATCGACTTTGATGATTGACCTTTCAAAGCGTTTCGGCGGCTAGCGCCAATTCGCTCAGGCTCGGGCTGGTTGCAATCAATGTCACCTTGGGGTTTTCAGACGCGAAACCGTGTCGACCTGACGGCAGAGATAGCGTGACGCACATGTGACACAACCGATAACAGTGTGTGTTCTGCCGTATCGCGAGCCCGGGGCGCGGTAATATGAGGACCTGTGGAAGAAGGCGGAAAACCAACACAGGTGAGCTCGGGGAAAATCGCTCCACGGACCGTGGCGTGAGCCCGGGAACACCGCACAACAGAGCCTGGCGCCAGAGCCAGAGCCAGAGCCCAAGGTCTGCCGCCGCTCTCTTGCAAACACCCTCGCTCGCAGGACGTGCACGCACACTGCAACCACCGCCACTCACCTCGAGGAAAAGGAAGGCGGCGAAGGCGAGGCCCGGCATCGGCGCACTGGGGCCGGTGGCGACGGCGCAGACGAGCATGCAGATGATGTTGATGACCACGGCCAGGGTCAGCACGCGCTCTGGCTTCACGCCGCGGCCCATCAGCAGCGTGTTGATGGACGAGCCCATCATGATGCAGACCATGAAACAGGAGAAGACCATGCCGAGCGGCGGCCGGCTCGGGTCCAGGATCGGCGTCCAGAGGAAGACGAAGATGTACATGACCGACTCGAAGAGCGACTGCACCAGGCCGAGAAGCGCTACCACCTCGTTGCTGAGGATGGTGCGCATGCCGTTGATGTAGCTGCGCCGGAAGTTAATCTGCTGGTTGCCGAAGTTCTCCTGCCACTGCGTCGAGACCAGTGTGCCACAGGCAATCAAGCAAGGGATGGCCATCACGAACGGCGCCACCGGGCCGAAGCCCAGCCACTCGGCCGCCATGTTGCTGGCCACGCCGGCCACGATGGCCAGGATGCCGTTCCAGAAGGTGGCCTTGCTAAACGTGACGGAGATCCACTCGGCCGGGAAGTCGTGCGTCTCGACGTGCTCGTACACGTACCACGACTCGAACGTGGAAAACAGCATGGAGGTGGCGATGCCGCCAAACACGCGGCCGAGCAGCAGCACGGCGTACGTTCGGCTCAGCTTCGTCATGCAGCAAAGCGAGTAGGCCACGCTGAAGGCCACGCACGTTTTCTTGCGTCCGAAGCGGTCGGCCAGCGGGCCGGTGGCCGTGCCGAACACAACCGATGCCGCGAAGCCCACCACGTAGATGACGGCGATCTGGTACTCAGCGAAGCCGTAGTGGCTGTACAGCTTGTACACGTAGGGACCCTGCAGCCAGTCGGAGAACAGCGCCAGGAAGTAGACGGCGAAGAACTGGCGCTGGAACTGCACGAAGTGCGGGTTGCTGGCCGCCGTCAGCTGCGCCTTGGTATGCTGCGCCAGGTGCAGCAGGACGAAACAGGCCACCGCCAGCAGCAGGAACGCCGTGTACGTCATCGTGGTCACGTCCATCTGGCGGCGGATGCGCAAGGCGCACGTCACGTCATGGCCGGGGTCACGGGGGCCACGTCACGGCCGGGGGTCACGGGGTCACGCCACGTCCAGGGGTCACGGGGTCACGTCACGTCACGGCCGGGAGTCTGACGCCATAGGCTGTCACGGTACGGCGCGTCATAGGGTCCAACACCAGCACCGCCCGGACCCTGACGTAGCAGAATCTCCACGCAAACGCGATCATGGCGGCAGCCATTCATAACGAAATCCACGATGGCTTCCTACGTTACTGAAAGTCATGCCACTTCGCAAAATAAGGGGGGCGCCAGTAGGTCCAAATCATGTTCACGTCGGGACACCAATAGGCGGATCCTAAAACGCGTATTATCATAAAAGAAATATCCCTCGATAAATTTTCCTACCCCACCAATGCTGCCATACCTCCCCGCTCCCTGCATGCGCACCTATCAGCTGCGCAGTGAGCATATACGTCCACAACAACGGGCGTTTAGGAGATGCCCCATATCACCCCACTAATATTGCACTTTGACACATCGATGGGGCCAAACAAATAAGCAAATATTTTTTTTTCAAGAGGCCTCGAATTAACTCTCCAATATACCACCTGAAGCTCCTCATAACGCAACACTTCCCGCCACGTACCGACCCACGAATGCCGCTGGTTTTCGTCGTAAAGTAGGGCATATCTTACAGACGACAACATTCCTGCGGTCATCAGCTGATTCTAGGTCGGACAGGGTGAAGCCCGAGCGCCAGCCGAGGCCTGACAGCGGGAGCAGTCGGTCCGCTGCGGCCCGACCGTGGCGGCGCCGCCTACCTTGACACCGGAGAGGTAGTACTGGAGCACGCCGCCGGCCGTGCGCCCGCTGGGGCTGGGCTCCGACAGGCCGTCCGTGGGAAGCATCGCCCGCTGAGCGTCACAGGTGTCCTGCGGCACGGCACGGGGCGAGTGGGAACGAGGCCGCCGCGGACGGGGCGCAGCCGCGGCGCCGGTGCGGCCGGACGGGGGCACCGGCGCCCGCCGACGGCCAGCGGCGGCCGCGGAGACCGCCGCGGGCAGCTTGGGGCGCGGGAGAGGGACGCAGGTCTTCTGTGAGGACACTCCGCCAGTGACGCCAGCAGGGGGTGGATATCGCTTTTCCATGAGGACGATAACTGACCGTACATTTCTGCTGCCTAAAATGCAACGGCATGGAAAGGTATTGACTGTGACAAAGAGGCGGGTGCCAGGGGGCGCCAGATGGTTCAGAGCCCAACGACCTGGCCTGCAGCTTACAGGCCAATGCAATGCAGCCAAGGCACTGCACTGTCGTGCGGAGTTGTGCCCCATGACCGGCGTGCGAGAGGTCCGCTGCCGCCCAAACAGGACATACCACAGCACAGAAAACGACCAGTGGATTGCATCCAACATACCGCGATAGATCCCCTTTGAACAGATGTCCAAGTCATTTAGTGGTCGATACATTGCTTGAACTCAAATAAGGTAGAATACACGCGACACAGGCACGGTAACCGCTCAATCTGAACTCTGTGGGGAAACCCGGAGATCTGGGCATAGTATGCGGTACTGATATCGTATCCGTAATAAAACACAGTACATAACATGCCTGCAGTTACTACATGTACATATGTAACAAACGCCACACATTTCCTCAATGATACCGAGAAAGTGGCATCGCTAGATGACAAGTCAAACCCAAAAAGGAAATCTGCACTTCAAGATGTCAAAGCCAACATATCAACGGCAAGCATCCTTAATGACAGAATTAAAACAAAGTACAGCCTAGCAGTGGAAACAAATGTTATCCAAAGAATAAGCTTCAATCATGAAAGGAAGTGCCAAACTTTTAAGGCATATTTCAAAAGCATACTCAGGTGAAAATTCAGAACCCCTCACGCCTACTAATAGCACTGGGTGGTGGTGCCACTACAGCACCATCATGCTGCAGTGGCACTGCAGCATCGTCAAGGTATAATAAGAAGATTAATTTTAATCATTTTGGTGCCCAAATTATGTTGTCAACGTTTCAAAACTAGGCCGTCGTTGTTTTGTCACAGCACTTTTCCCCTCCTGGATCCAAAGCCAAAATGCGTATCGAAAAGAGCCACCGTGCTAAATGCCACAGTGAATAAATCAAAGCCATAGCAAAGCAGTTCGTTGAATTCTCGTGATAATAGATTAATGTTGGTGAAGCATCTTCCTTTAAAACTTTATAACTTTTCGTGGCATTTCGTACACAACCACACGAATAAATGCACTGCAAACATCGCAGAACACATACGTTGGAAAAAGCGATAGAAATGAAACTATTACTTTCATAGTGGAGAGCAGAGAGCCCAACGAATTTCTGCCGCGGGAGCAGCTACTTGAAATCAAAATCAGAGGTATTGGGAATGATTTAGAAAAAACCGGTTTTACCGATCAAGTCGGACCCGCCTGATCTAACAACACGTGAAAAATACAAAAAGATGGCACGCTCCCTTTGACCAAAAATGCGTAAGTGCATTCAATAATGCACAAGACTAGGCTGGGCAATCTACATTTGTTCCCTGATCGCCGAGCGCGACCTGTTATTGGTGACAGGTTATTTGGGCGGGGTTGGGGGAGGGGTCAGTTTATCCAAAAGGATGCAGCAAACTTTGCTGGCAGGCAATTCAGCGCGGCACAGCAGAAGCCGCATCTTCACTTGGTCCTGGTATTAAACTTGCATACCTCATTCTTGCCCACTGCTAAACAAAGTATATTATTGCACGGCGGGGTTTCCACCGAGTGACTGTACTTGATACACTCATCCTAACGTTCTTATATGGTGACGCTGCTCTGGCATTCTATCGATGTCTGCTCCAACTGGATGTATGGAAGACAATGGCGTTGTCGCATTCATGACCTTAATCTGCATCTTGCTCTGATTACCTGGCTAGTGAAAACTGACCCCCACGCATTGCTATCCGCATCCAGCCCCCGCCATTGTCGCCAGTTCTCCACCTGCCCCCTCATGTGTCACCCCGCCATTCTGGCATACCGATTCACCACTGCGTTCCCGATCATGTCCCATGCGTGCGTTCCTGAGATGTCGCCACGCTGCACGCACAACGCCTCTCGCCCCCCCCCCCCCCCGGCCTAGCACGCCGATTGCAGTGCAGATAACTCATGACTCCGTTCCCCGCGATGTCTCATGCGTGTGTTCCTGAGATGTCGCCAAGCCGCGCGCATCACGCCCCGCCCCCTGGCATGCCGATTACAGTGTAGATAACTCATGACTCCGTTCCCCGCGATGTCTCATGCGTGCGTTCCTGAGATGTCGCCAGGGGCGCGCACACAGCGGTCCCCGTTGTGTGGTGCCTGAAGCTGATCCACGCGACCCGTGCGGGTGTGCGTGTTGTTGACCGCCCTGTTTTTTTCGTCTCCGGTTTCTTATCTTATTGCGACGCCAAGTCACGTTGGATTCATAGCTCGCATGAGACTAGATGTGCTGAGCTGCGTTAGCCCAGTCACTGACTATGTGAGACAGCAGCTGTGTTTGCTCTGCCGTCTCCACCGCCCCATCCCGGCGCCTGAGGCTGTTCATGGCCCCCGACAACCCGGGAGAACGTCCGCTACTGGTAATGGACGACAAGCCTCAGTCCACGGACGACATCCGGAAGTGGATCAGGTACCTCCAAGAGCAGCGTCTGGACCATAATTGTCACACTAGACGCGATCAGGGACAGCTCCGGACACACCTCTGCACGCCTGCGCGTCCCCGTGGGTGGCGCCATCAGGTGCTCGCTTCCTCCACGACCGTCTCAAGCTCTTTCCAGTGGCGGCCCACAGGAGCTGGACGGTGTCGCTCGGTGCCCTGCCTGACCGGGGGCTCGCGCAGCTCGGCGTCTCACTCTCGCTGGCCGCTCCCGCTCCCACAGTGAACCGTTCGGGATCCTCAGGATGCCTTCAACCGCCGGTCCCGCCAAAGTATGGCCCCACCCGTCGCGGCTGCAGACGCGCGAGCCACGGCGTGCGTGACGCACCGTCAGCTGCCCCGCACGGATGCCATTAACCAGATCACGGTAACAGCCCGCCACCAACAGACAAGCCGGTGTGGCGCGGCCGCGACTGCGACCCCTACCGTGCCGCTCGGCGGCGGCCGGTCTGCTCCCTCCACCCACTATCCATGGTACGCCCCGTGTGACGACTCCGGCGAGCCCGCCGCCATTCCAGGACGGTGGGTGTGGATAAGCAGCGGTCCGAAGCCTCGTGCCGCCCCGGACCTGCTGGCCCAGATCGTCCAGGATCTTGGCCTCGAGGACGATGACCAGGGGATCCTGTGTTCCCCTACGTGGGCAACACCGCCTCGTCCCTGATGCGCTCGTTGGAGCGTTATCCTTCCCGACGCTTTCCGTGGCGGAATCAGACGTCGGTCCGGCGGATAGCAGCGGGGTCGCGCCGGCGCCGACCGTGACGTCCCCGCGTCATCGAGACCCCACTCACTATCGCAGACGTTCAGTCTAGAGCTTGAGCCGGCGGACGGTGACCCAGTTCGGTTCGTGGCGTCTGTTGCCACCCGTCCGCTGGGCAGCTCATGCGCCGGACCCATCCAGCGGCCTCAGCGACAATCAGCGGAAGACACTAGAACACCAGACCCCCCGAGGCAGACGGCAGTGAAACCAGTCTTCGCCAACTCGAGAATCTGGACTACGCCCCGCTGAGCTTGTCCAGCCCCTAGGAGAGCAGATTGTTGGGAGACAACCTTCAGGACCCTCGAGAGACCAGGAACCCATCAGGTCCAGGCTCGTCGGGGCAGATATTCTCACCCCACCCAGATTTTTCGACGTGAATGAACGCGTGACTCCACGGGTTGAAGGCCCAGCTCCTTCCCTCATCGCACCCGACGACCGCCTCCCCATTGATACCGCTCCGAACCCGCTACCAGGCTGGGAAGTCACTTTAGGCGGCCTGACCCCGGCAGACTTCCCGCCACAGCCCTCCTGGCCACTGCCATGACCCTGAGCCAGTCCTCCGCACTGCGGGGCGTATCCGCGCCAAAGTTATATAGCTGTGGGCAATTGCACGGCTAATATTTGTATATACTCGGATGTAGCTTGCATGGTTTTTGGCCTGTGGCAAGTTGAAGTCTTCTATACGTTGAAGTTTGGCTGTCCTAATAGCTCAGATGGTTAGAGTGCCTGACTTATGATCAAGCCACCTTTGGCAGGTTGGGTACAAGTCACTTTAGATGCTCACTGTTTGAAATGGCTTGTGACCGGTGGCAGCTAAAGGCCAGGTGAGGTCAAAGAGCAGGACAGACTGTGCCAAGCATTACAACATGCTAAACTTTCATCACAATGTTCTGCTGTTAACTTGTAACTGTGTGATCAGGTGGTAGAGATCAGGGCTCACACAAGCACTGCTTAGCATGCAGTCTGATCCCCAAAATCCATCCATTCAGAAGGGTTTGGATAATGTATGCAATGGATAATGTAAGTAAATAATATAATGGTCATGAACACCTAGCAATTTATTCAATATGATGAGACAAGAGTGTTAGCTGAAGTCATACAACTTTGAGATGGTTTCTGATAAAATAAGACAAACACAATTAGGAGCACAATATATCCCACTGACCTTGCATCAGGTATAAAGGTCACATCAAAGCCATAATGAAAACCTATTTTTTACTTGTCAACTTGCTTTATAGGTGACCTTGAATGCTTCTTTCAAATTTATAGGGCACAAAAACAAAAAATCACTCATTTTGACTAAATAACATTCAGGGGAGGTAATTGACCTAAAATGACCCTGATCATGCACTTGCATGTATAAGTATGCCACATAGGGTAGTACTTGGTACATCTTGCACATCAAAATAAAAAAATCCTGATAGTTTCATACCATTTTTACCTTCAAAGATCAAATAATATTGATCCCCTGACATGAGTAGCAGGGACTTCGTTACAGCATGTGTACTGTATCAAAACTGTTGATGTGGGAAAGCCTGGGGAACTTCAAACACCCATCAGTAGTTTGAACTTGTTTGATATTATTTGAACAGGTCACAACTTAGTACTACAAGTTTGACACCATGTGTTCACATATAGGTCTACCTACCCTATAAATATCAAGTCTCCAGCTCTTATTTTCAAAATATCATGGGATAGGTAAAATCCCCCAGCTGAATGTGTCACATTCAACTGGCCACCCGGGAATTTGTTAACAAGGAAAGACAGGTTTTGGAAGCGTAATGCTATGCTCAGGTGTAGTTTGAAAATATACCAAACCTTTAAAAATGTCAGAACTTTAAAGTCAGGTACCTTTGGCCTCCTCTTATGACAACCAGCACTCTTCTTTGTCCACCCCTCTAGCTAAAACATGGGTGAATTGGTTGTTGTCAAGCTGGGATGCTATGCCTAACACAAAACAATCAGGAGTGGGAGTGGGTCTGGCACACTCAATGCAAAAGCAAGAGTAGTGGGTAGGAAAATAGCTAAAAATGTGAAGCATAATCTATGGGCAGCCCATATAGCCATCAGTGATACCTGTAACAGTGATACCTATTAACCCTGCAAGGTGTGCCAAAGCATACACCTTGCCTGCTGTCTAAATGAGTAATACATAATGCAGATGAACTCATCCATTCCAGCCGCCAAATTATGCCAGATATTAAGTATCACGTCATGGGGAGTGATTCTGACTTGCACCCAGCAATTTAAGACCTCTTCAAAACCACAGGGGCACTGGTATTTAGAGCACCCATGCGTCCACAAACCACATTAAGGCACATGCTAAAAATATTAAACACTGAGATCATCCGGACACCCAAATCCATGGCACGCTCCGCTAGGTTCCAAAGCTTATGTTGACGTGGCAGCGTACTGTGTACAAGCCACCTATGCATCACAGTCCAATGCACGAATAAAACAAACAAAGCACTGACTTTTGAACAATTTATGGCGCATTTAGACGCTTGCAAAAAGCCGCCTACCTTCTTCTGTCAGCCGCCCGTCTCCAAGTCCATCCAACCACAGCAGGGACGTCCCAATAACCCGCCGACCAGCACTTCTGCTGCCGGTCGGGCCACGCTCGCCAATCAGCATGCGGTGTGTACGTGGACGGAGGTCGTCGACGCCGCGACAATCGCCGCGAGGCTGGGAAGGTTGTTGACACTGGAGATTGTGAGCCGGTAGAAGCGTTGTACTGGGTAGAAGCGGTCAGCAAGCGGTAGAGCCCCGAGGCTCCGCGGTGTCCACGAAAGTGGCGTTCTGGGGTCAAGCTACGCTTGCGAGTTAACCATTACTTTATTACGACCAGACGCCCCTTGAAAATCATGGGTGTCAACGAGTTTGCTGTTGGTCTCATCGGATGCACAGTCGAGGTGTTTAAGCGCCGGATATCGCATCACGTAACCCCGTATCCCTCCCTCATCCCGTATCCCTCCACCTGGTCTCCAACCCCGTATCGCTCCAACATCCCTCCCGTTTAAATATCCTGATTGCACCCGGGTCACTTCATTTCTACGCGCGGAAATGAGACGGACCTGATCTTGCAATTCGAATTCACTCAGTTTCAAGTATGTAGGAAAGACGACTGTGTCGGGGCAAAGGGTCAGCCTGCCAGGTACAGCTGCCCTTCACGCCAAGCGCGAGCAATCACGAGGATCAGAACCATTCCACTCTTCTCGGGTAGCAAGTGACCACAACCTTCCTTCATCCTTTCGAACACCGATTCGGTCACTGCTCACATGTTCACGGGTATAAGAAAGCGCTGCTCTCGCCCGGCCTCGATGGAAGTCACATGCCTTGGTCACTCTCCGGTGGCCCGGTTGATACCGTCGGTGGCAATCGTCTGGCCCGATGGTATCCACACAGCGCGACTCACCGCAACTATGCGGGATGGGGTGAAAGAATACGGCCTGGGTGCTCGTTATCGTTTTTCATGGGATGTCGCCCCGGTGCCGCAGGCCATGTCGGTCAGATCAGTCTCACCACAAAACCTTGGCGAGTTGCGTCGCCGAAAATGTCGTCCACCCCACGAAATACGGACAACTTAAGCATCCAACGTTCAGACGTCTATGGGAGAGTCCCTATCCAAATCGGACATTATCGTTGCATGTTGTGGCCCTAGCAATATTGTCGAGCCACATGTCCTAGTGTAGCCCGATGTCCCATTTTCATAAACAACGCCATGCTATTCATATGCGTATTAATCCATTTATTAATCCAGCTTCCACAGATGCACTTCAATCCATGCAAATGTCACAACACGAACAACAGCGGTCTTTTCCGGCACTTGCCGCCCCACGCCAGCGCTCAATAACTAGACACCTGCCCAGTTGACGTACAACACCGCTGACCTACAATGCCAGAATGCGGTCAGCCTCGCACCGCCTCCAGCCGGCCGGCCAAGGGCGCTCCGCTCCGCCCACTCCGGTACAGCGCGGAAGGCGCTGGCGACGTGGGGCGACAGCGGACTGGGCAGGCCAGCCAGCGACCCCCACTGGGTCAGCAGGCGGGTCGGTCGCTGACCTCGCCGGGCCAGGGGCAGGCCAGTCAGCGACCCCACTGAATCAGCGGGCGGGTCTGCCGCTGACCTCGCCAGGCCAGGGGCGGGTCGGTCACTGACCCAGCTGGGTCAGCAGGCGGGTCGCCTCGGCCGCCGACGCCTGGATGTCATGGCCCGCGTCTGCGCGGGCTGCTTCCAGTGCCGGCGTCAGACGCACGCTCAGGGCGCCGACCGGCGCCAACACCGGGAAGTTGAGCTTCTCCTTCAGGTCACGGAGGGCGCTGAGCACAGCCTGAGTCACAGCCAATGCTTCCCGACGCAAGCTTGGATACTTCGGCATCTCTGGAAAGTGTCGGGCGGACATGTGCAACGAGGAAGCAAAGCAGATTTCATGAGCAGTGCCGTGTGGAATGTACAGTGGTAGCACAGTACCAGCTACCCTCAAATTGATCCAATTTTTCTGACATCTAGAATAGCGAGATGCTTATCCAAATAAAGAAGATGTTCGCCGCACTGACAGCTCCACCAGGGCTGAATGGTGAGCCAGCCCGGCGCCATCGCTCTCGCCATCAGCACCAGCTGTGCGGGCGGATGTGGCGCGGGCGCGGCCGGCGCCTCCGCCTCCGGCCTCCGCCTCCGCCTGCACTCACCCAGCGCAAGCGCCAAAATCACGCCCAGCTGGTTGACAGCCTCCGTCAGCCGCGGCTGGTCCCGCTCCACCGACGGCTCGTGCAACAGCCACAGTCGTGACGTCACCGGCCGCAGCGACGTCACGATCGCCAGCTGGTGGGCACGCGTGGAGCGCGGCATGGCCGCGGCCAGCGCGCCCACGTACCGCTCCCAGTGCGTCTCTGTGGGGCGGCAGCGAACAGCGTGCAGCAAGCCGGGGGGGGGGGGGGGCAGCTGGCAACCAGAGGCACACTCGTGTGTTACCGCGTTAATATGCACTGGCTGGGCAACGTTTATGAGGACAGCCACGTTGGACGCATGAATGACAGCATAGTTTTATATCCGTTCCTGCGAACCTATTTCGCCGGCTCCCAACCCAGCATCGGACACGATGGATGCGACGGCATCGCTTGATAATCTTATAGCAATATCATGCATCGATACATAACACCACGGCTTTGAACACCCACAGCACACCAACACGTGCGTGTCACCTAGTACCACCCACGTAGCGAGCACCATGTTCGTAGTTCACACGCGCCCCCGACGTAACACTACAGCAGCGGCAGGCAGCCCGGCCGTGTCCAGCGCGGGCCGTGAACCGGCCAGCCGGTGCCGGCCCGGCGGCTGGCGCCTACCCTGCGTGTGCCGCGCAGCGGGCCAGGCGCGGCCGAGCGCCGTGTAGGCGGCCTCCTGCAGGCGGAGCCGCGCCGCGCTGTCAGCCGGCTCCTCGTCACCGCCGCTGCCGCTGGGCCGCGGCGAGCCCGCCTGCGACCCCTGCCGGGGCGGGGACGGGGCGTCACACAGGGGCGGGATGGGACAACACACCGGGGTGGGGCAGGGCATCACACAGGGGCGGGACGGGACAACACACCGGGGTGGGGCAGGGCATCACACCAGGCTGGGACGGAACATCGCACCGCGCTGGGACGGTCGCCAGCGGCGGAAGACGCGGTAAGGGGACTCCGGTGCACTCGGACCCACCGACTTCTGATTTAAAACGACGCACCAGCCGTCAGGCAAACGCCACTGCTCAGGTTGGCCTCTGCTCTGACCCGCCTCCTCACAGAGACCAAGCCGACAGCTCCTCAGCGACCAGAGCACACTCAAACGCCTTCGACGGACGCCGCCACCAGCGGAGTCCACTGACCTCGACGTACGGCGCTGCCAGCTCCCAGAGTTGCCCGAACCGGTCCAGGCTGAGGTCACGCAGCACACGGCCGGCCGCCGCCAGCGCGTGCGCCTTGTAGTCGGGCCGCTCGCGGGCGGCCTCGCGCAGCACGGCGTCGGCCAACGGCTCGGGCTGTGCCACGCCGGCCGCGCAGTTCTGGCACACGTCGGCCAGCGCGCCCAGCAGCGCCTGCTTGCCGTCCCAGGTGCGGCCAGGCAGGCCGGCCAGCAGCGCGTCCAGCACGGCCAGCAGTTGATCGGCGGGCAGGCCGGCCGAGAGGCGGGCGGCCGCTGCGCCCAGCGCTGCCGCCGCCTGCGCCTTGAACGGCCACGACTGGCCGGCCAGCGCGGCGCGACACAGCGCCACGATCTCTGCCAGGTAGAGGCGCAGCCCGCCCTCGGTGCCGGGCGCCAGCTCCTCCCACACCTCCTCCCACTGGGCCACCTCCGACTCGGTCTCTGCGCGACCGGCGACAGGGGTCAGACCCGCCGCGTAGTAACGTGCCGATGACATGTTTTTATTAGTCGTCGCGTCGACGACTAATAAAAACATGATGAACACAAAAAAGCAAGCATGATGGCATGAAGAACCAGGCCAATACAAGCACGCTAGATATTAGGTGGACGGAACGCGCCCACGCGGCACCGACGTTAGTTACCACAGTGTAGTGGTCGATGGCTCAAACACTTGCACATTTGTACGGCACATGACGTTCGACGTTTGCCTAGCACGCTGGCTTGTTTCGACTCTAGTGCCAAACCCCATCTTTCGCCCTGCCGTTTCTCTGCTGCCGATGGGCGACGCGTCAGCTGCCGGGCCGTTCTCACCGGGCGTCTTCTCGCGGTGCATGGCGAAGAAAGCGAGGCTGGCGGCGTCGGCGGCGTGCTCTTTCAGCTGGCTGGGGCTGTGCTGGCTCAGTGACTGCAGCGCCGCCGCGCACACCGGCCTCAGCGTCTCGTCTGCGGCGGCCGGCGGCCCGGGTCAGCGGACACCGACACTGGACACAGGACACAGGACACCGACACAGGACACAGGACACATGACGCAGGACACAAGACACAGTTAACAGGCACGGACACGAACACTGGACACGGGACCCAGGACCCAGGACGCAGGACACAAGACACAGGAAACAGGCACGGACACGGACACTGGACACCGGACACAGGACACAGGACACAGGACACAGGACACAGGACACAGGACGCAGGGCACAAGACACAGTAAACAGGCACGGACACGGACACTGGACACGGGACCCAGGACCCAGGACGCAGGACACAAGACACAGGAAACAGGCACGGACACGGACACTGGACACTGGACACCGGACACAGGACACAGGACACAGGACGCAGGACACAGGACACAAGACACAGGAAACAGGCACGGACATGGACACAAGGCACGGGACGCGGCACAGGCGAGCGGTCAGTCTGTTCACCTCGCGGGCGGCGCCGCTTCACCGGTGCAGGCGATCAGCCGCTGGTCACTTCACACACTGTACCGCGCACCTCTCCTGGTACCAGTGAACACCGGACCAGCACGGCCCCAGCGACACACGACCCACGTGACCATCCTCCGCCTGCCAAGGCCACCACCTCGCCCTCGCCAGCGCGCGACACCCACCTTCCCCGTCCATGTACCAGGCGCGCAGTTTGGTGATCAGCTTCTCCACGGAGGAGGTGCGGGCGGCGCGGCAGACGTTGCCGCAGGCGGAGGCGCAGCAGCGACGCACCGTCACGTTACGGTCTTGCATGCCGTGTACCAGCGCCGACAGCACCTTGCCTGGCGACGGAGATCGCGTCACGTGGGGGGGGGGGGGGGGAGGGGCTCAGTACGTGCAGGACCCAGCGGCGCTGGGCCAATCGAGCCGCCGGTATGTCCAGCTGGTGGAGGCGTGGCGCATGGTGTGGCCGAGCGTTATGCCCTCCCAAAGAGTCAGAGGAAGACGCGGCACTGGCAAAAAACGAACCAGTGGGTTTATCTGCCTACAATGTTGAGACCCACACCAGTGGGCCCATGTTACGACCACAAGCACAGAAAATAAGCAGGAGTGTCGCGGTTTTCAGTCTCACACAAGCCGCACGATCCGGTAGCACGCGACGACTCCACCCCCGGGCGGCTGCGGCGGCCCCGGGAGCCCGCTGACTTTCCCGCTGCCCCGCCGCCGCTCACCGGCCGTCTGCTGGAGCACGAGCGGCCGCTCCGTGGCGAGTCGAGCGGCGAACAGCGCCACGCCGCACTTGGTGCCGAGGCCGGTGTTGCGCTTCATCAGCTCCGAGAGACGCGGCACGATCTCGGCCGCCTCCGCCGCGTCCACGTACTGGATGCACTGTTGCGCCGAGAGTCCGATCTCGGTCACCGAGCTCGCGTTCACCTCGTGCTCGGCCAGTTTTGACACAGGACGGTGTGTGTAAAACGTGCGACGACAATCGATAACGGTCTAAATAATCGGAAAACTTTCACCTAAATCACAAATTTCTCAAAAAGTTTGCCTTTAAGCTTTACAACACAGGGTGATGTGGAAACCGGCAGGCGGGAGGAAGCAACATGACACCTGAGTGCGAAGGTGCCACGCCGTACGACCAGCGGTGTTTCTTAGCCACGGTCTTTTCATTGTTATCCTGCGGGTATGTTCCAAATTCACATTTGCCACGCGGCTTCCTCGACACACACAAGCGAATTCATCGCCATTTGATCCCGACCCTATAATGACGGTTTGGTATGAGCGGTGCCACCCCGCCAGCGGTGACCTCCTGCAGCCCGGACCGTCTCCCACCACCCGTCCGCCGGCGGGCTGGAGCGTCGGCAGCGTCGGCGCGTACCTGCGTCAGCGTCCTGAACATGGCCGAGTCTTTGGTGATGCCGAGTCGGCCGCGGTCGATCACCTCCTGGGTGTCCGCCTGCTGGCCGAACGCCACGCTGACCTGGCGCACGGCGCTGGACTCGAGCGTCGAGAGCGCCTCCAGCAGGGCGGGCACCAGCAGGCGCAGGTGGGGACGCAGCTGCGGCCCGGCCGTCCGCGCCAGCTTCATCACCGTCGACAGGCTGCAGGCGGCGGCACGCGGCGTCACGGCAAACACACATGCGAGACAGGACGATGTGGATGGTGGGCGGGGCCCGGGTGTATGTCAGACACGAGCCGTGAGGGATAGGTGGAAGAGAGCCCCAGGCATGTCCGAAGCATGGCCTTATTTTTTGCATGCGAGACACGGACCGATGATGGGCGGACACGACCCAGCTACAGCCAAAACGCGGGGGGGGGGGATTGGGAGCAGTGTCGAACGCTTCAGGCTAAAAAAAAGTACATACAGGAGGGTTTGTGGGGAGCGGGAAGAAATCGAGGCCGACCACCGACGGCGATCTGCTTTCCTCGCTACACAACCGGAGGCAGTCGCGCAGCTGTTGACCATCAGTCTACATCGTCTGTCTTACGAGACCAGACAGGACCGACACCAGACAGGCCGACGCAGTCGGGTGTCGACCCTCAGTGAAATCTGTCATGGACCGGCGCAGGCCAGTGCGACAGTCGTGGGGCTGGCGCGGAGCCAGCCCGGGGCCGGCGCGAAACCAGTCTGGGGGCCGGCACGGAGCCAGTCTGGGGGCCGGCACGGAGCCAGTCTGGGGGCCGGCACGGAGCCAGTCTGGGGGCCAGCGCGGAGCCAGTCTGGGGCCGGCGCGGGGCCGGTGCGAGCGTGACCGACCTGACGCTGCGGACCTCAGCCACGGTAGAGGAGAGGCCCGTCTCTAGCAGCGCCGGCAGCACCAGCGCCATGGCGCGCTGGCTCAGCTTCGGCGCGTCCTGCTGCTCGCACAGCCGCACGCTCACCTGGCCACGTGGCGAGACACAGGCGAAGGATCAGCGACAGGGGCGGGCGGCGCGGGGACTCGGCGACTGCGGCCGCACAGTCATGGCTCACACGCGGCTGGATTAAAGCACCCTTTCGTCGATTGAAAAATCACTGATCATCGCCAGGCATCACCTGACTCATCAGCATTACTACGCCATCCATGGACGTTTTACACAATCGGAAGGTTAAAGCAGCCATTTTTCAGGGAGCTTTATTACGTATTTCCTTAAACATGAACAAAATACACGGACATTGCCCCATTCAAACCAAGCTTGAGGAGAAGCACCATCAAAGAGCCACGCCACACCCCTCCACACCCCGCGCCCGCGCACCACCCCACTAACCCACACACTGGCCCCGCCCACCTCCGCTGTCCACCGGGCGTCTACTGACCCTGCTGAGCACCTCCAGCGTCTTATGGGCGGCCAGCCGGACCGACTCCTTGATGTCGTCGCGCACGCGGAACAGCGTGCTCCACATCTCGGGCAGCCGGTGCAGCACCGGCTCCAAGGCGCTGCCGCCGCCGCCGCACAGCAGCTCGGCCAGCGCGGCGCAGCACGACTCGCGCACGCGCCACAGATTGTCCGTCAGGCGGGCCAGCACCTGCGGCGCGCGGCGTCAGCGGCGGGACAGGGGCGTCAGCAGTGTGCGTGGCGGGCGGAGGGGAATCAGAGGCAGCTGAGGAGTCGAACAGAGGGGAGTCAGAGGCAGCTGGTGAGTCGAACAGAGGGGAGTCAGAGGCAGCTGGCGATTCGAGCAGAGGCTGCTATCAACCGACGATGGCACGTCGTTGTTTGACGGCGGACAGCACGCTGACTCATGGTGAGAAACACGCCAGCAGGATCGGGTCCGGCAGGGGTCGGGTGCGCGCGGCACTGATCCCAACGTCTGCAGCGATCCTAACCCATCCCAGGTACGCTGTCAGTACTACGCCACCACACGCGGACGCCACGCCAGCATCAAGCCGCGCGCGACTGGCAGCGCCAGCTGTGCGGCTCAGCCCGGCCGTACCTCGTCCATGATCTGCGGCAGGTACTGTTGCATCGTCTTGCTCGTGTCGGGCACGATGGAGGCCCAGATGGCGCGCATCGTCTGCTGCACCTGCGGCTTCGGGTCGAACTGGTACCTGTCGGGAGAGCGGCGGCGGTGTACACATCTGGAACGCTGCGACAATGCTGCCGATCTGAATCACCTGCTCCGAGCTAGCCAGCTGATATAATGCCTCACATCGGGCAGCAACCGCAAATTCAATGCACATTTTAATCAATGGGAACTGATCTGTGCGCACTGATCAGATTAGTGCACACATCAGATCAGATGAGATCAGTGCGCATCTGCTGAAAATGACATTTTGGGCAGATCAAGTCGATTTATCCTGCGATGAATGTTTATGGCATGACGTGAGCAGTGTATCACCATCGCAGAGTCATTTTGCTCCTAATCTGGCCGAATGCACGAGGGCGCTCCTCGCGGGCACCTTTGCCAAAACGCTGCGCTTCTCGGAACCCATCGATCCAGTGAGCACGCGGTGCTAACCTCGCGAGCTACCGGCCCCATGGCCGAGTCGGGCATGGCATCTACCAGCCATACGACCTTCAGCCCACAACACAACACCCTCAAAAGCAAACCGAAGCCCCTCAAGCTTCGCATACCCGTCGTGTCAACGTCCAGCCAAAACGGCCCACGACGACTGGCGCCCCAGCGTGGACGCCCCACATTCCGTGCCGACACGTTCAGCGCCGGCGCCGTGGCCCCGTTCGCCGCCGCCACTGACCGGTACAGCTTGGGCACGATGTTGCCCAGGTGGGGCGTCAGCGCTTCGCCAGCCCGAGACGCGATCGTCGAGAAGCCGAAGGCGGCGCCGCGGCGCGAATTCCAGGCGGCGTTGTGGTTCACCAGCGTCATGAACTTGTATATGAGGTCGGGCTGGTTGAGGTCCGACGCCAGCGAGCACAGCTCCTTGTACGTGGAGAGCTGGCCGCTGCCAATGAGGTGACGTCAGAGGACTCCTCAAATGACGGCGATCGGGCTGACGACGGGTAGCGGGTGAAGTCACCACTGCAAGTTATAGGCCCATGCGGGCCGCCGCGGTACACTGGTGAGACCCCACATCACTCCAGCACCTATCAGGTCAGCCAGCGCTCATAATGCTCGCAAACTCACTTGGATTGACTATAGCATAATTATTAAAGCTGCATTTTACATTACTGGCTACAATGCGACGTCCACAAAACTGTTTAAAGATCCCAGCCAGCAGGGTTTCGCTGCGACCCGCCCCACTCACCCGGACGGATCCTTGCCCAGCTCGCCCTGCCCGAAGAGGCGCGTGTCGCCGGTGACCTTCTGCGTGCTGGGCCGGCCGGCGGTGCCGGTCAGCGCGCCCACCAGGCCGTCCACCAGCAGCGCGCGCTGCCGCTCGTCGCCAGAGTCGTACACCAGCGCCAGTCCCTTTGAGGCCGCCTCCTGTACCAGGTCTGGGAGCGGGCGGCGGCGTGAGAGCCCGCCCAACAGCAGTGGGCTGACGGCGGCGGGATGGGCGAGCCCGCCGAGACGGACTACCGACCACCAGCCGCCATGTCAAGCCGTCGAACGAACTCTGAGTACACTCGACAGTACACACACACACACACACACAGAGGTATGTCCAAGTTATCGTCGATCACGCTGCGTCGAGCACAGCCGACTGAAGCTGGAGCGAGGATGGTTCCGCGTGAGCCAGGGGGACAGCCGCGTGGTGCCGATGCCAAAATAAGCCGGCCCAGCGCGCGCCAGCCGCCGCCCGTACCGTTGCCCGAAGCCAGCAGCTCCATGAAGGCGTTCTGGATGACGGCCAGGTTGTCCCTGAGCGGCTGCTGGCGCTGGCAGTGTTTGACCAGCGCCAGCAGCCAGACGCCGGCCGACTGGCGCACCCTCGGGTGGGTCTGCCGGACAGTACGGCGGCCGGTCAGCCACGCGCACACAGACACCGTCCGAGCCGCTCGCACTGTGGCGGCGTCCGCTTCTCGCGTACCGCACCACCATCAATGACTGAGATATGCATCGCAAACGCTATATGGCATGATCAACTCATGATTGCGCTCCCGTACCGCCCAAACACTTGCGGCATCCCTTATACCATTCCGAGTTGCACAAGGTAAATAAGTTCAAAGACAAAAGCAACGTAAACCACCCATGTGCCTGCTACAGAGTAGCAGTCCAGCTTCGTGTCCTATGGGATGCTTCGCCACTACACTACCCAAGCCACCGCGCCCACCAGCGTACCGGTACGGTGCCGGCGCCGGTGCCGAACGAGATCCTCACCTGGGTCAGCTGGTTCTCCAACAGCTGTCGCAGCAGCCAGGTGAGCAGCTCGTCTGGCTGATAGGACTGGGCGGAGGGCGGCGGCGCGGCGCCGTCGTCGGCCGCCGCCAGCCACGGGTCGCGCGCCTCGGCTGACAGAGGGCCCAGCACGGCACACACCATCGCCTCGCCCACGGCCATCTGCAGCTCCAGCTCGTCCAGCTGCCGGGCGCAGACCGACAGGCTAACGCGTTGTCAACAGACTGGCCGCTGGCAGCAAACCGAACTTACCGCCGGGTGTGATAACAGCCGCTGCCCGGCGCGACGCGCCAGCGATTAGGGCTGTTTTGTATGCCATAGAAGCATGGGTTGGCAACTGTACGTAACCAACACACGAACTGCGGTACCAACCACACGAGCTGTTGTACGAAAACAGACACAAACGCTGCTTACTTCGTGTCCCAAGCTCGCTCTCGCACGCCTCCAGAGGTGCGTCCCACTGGGCACACGCTCGGCGGAGGGCCAGCGGCGCCGGCGCCCGCTGCCGCCGGCCCTCACCTCACTGGAGACGGAGAGGAAGTGCTGCACGATGTCGCGCCGGAAGGCCAGCGTCGGGTCACCGACGCACACCCCGCCGCACGCCACGATGGCCCGCTCGCGCGTCTGCCGGCAGCGGCCAGGCGTCACGCCAGCGGCCGGCACGGCAGCCACGACACACAGCGGGCACTGGCCGGCAAGGCAGCCAAGACATACAGCGAGCACTGGCCGGCACGGCAGCCCACAGCGGGCACTGGCCGGCATGGCAGCCACGACACATAGCGGGCACTGGCCGGCACGGCAGCCACGACACACAGCGGGCACTAGCCGGCACCGCAGTCACGACACACAACGGGCACTGGCCGGCACGGCAGCTACGACACACAGCGGGCACTGGCCGGCACGGCAGCCACGACACATAGCGGGCAATGGCCGGCACGGCAGCCACGACACACAGCGAGCACTAACCGGCACGGCAGCCACAACACAAAGCGAGCACTGATCGGCACGGCAGCGACAGCACACAGCGGGCATTGTCAGGCTGAACTACCAACACAAAGTGACACACTCGTATGTCACCGCATCGGTGATGTGTGGAAGGAATTCGGCACAAAGCGTAATGTCGAAGTCAGGCGCTGCGAAGGGGCGTCGAAGCAGCCCTGTTCCATCTCCCAACTCGCGACAACACGCTGTCATTTGCCGAAACCATGTCGCAGCGCGATGGGCTGATAGAGGTGCACGAATACCGGTGAAGATGAAAATCTTATCCAAAACCAGCTGGCCGCACCAGCGTGCGGGACGTCCACCGCCTCGTCCCCACCTTTGAAGCGAGCTCCTTGTTGGTGGCCGTCTTCAGGAGGCGCGTGATGACGTAGTGTCGGGAGGGCGGCGTCTTCTGGTCGGCCGGGCCAGCGCGCACCGGCAGCGGTCCCGTCCGACCCATCTCGGCCAGCGCCTCCAGACAGGCGGCCAGCAGCAGCGGCTGCGCCGAGTCCAGGTACGCCACTGCGGCGGCGAGGCGGACGGGTCACCGGCGGCCGGTCGGGCAGAGGGCGGCGGTCGGCGGCGCGTCCATACCATCCCAGAGCCCGTCAAGGGTCCCTGCTACCCGCCGGGCCTACACCTGCGTCGCCGGGCTCAGTTCCATGCGTTGTAACAACGCGCCAAAGTCACCGTAGGCGCTAACTTGCCATCGCGATGCACGCGATCGTGTCCACCATCAGCAAACGGCGTGATTGAAACACAGGCCGTCGGGCCGGCCGGCTACAGCAGCAGCGGAGCCGGCGACCCCGCCCAGCGCGTGCGGCAAAAGCGGTTTCCGTCTCGACCGCGCACGGCGGCGCGCCACTTACGCATGTCGGCCATCAGCTGGATGACGCCGTCGTCATCGCGCCCGGGCGGCCGGCCGGCCCGGGCGCGCCGCGACAGGCAGTGTCCCAGCGCCAGCAGGCCGCCGTGCTGCTCCTCCGGCACCTGTCGCCGCGGTCGCGCGATTACGCGGCGGCAGACACGCCGCGCCGGCGCACACGCGCCACCAGATGGGCCACAGACAGACGTTTACATATCAAAATCATGAGCACCGTATCATGTTATAACGTCCTATCAATCCACACAAGCATAAAGCATCGACCGAAAAACTTCCCGCGAGCGCAACACAAGACAACAAAGAAACAAAAACACTGCCGGCAATCGTCCAGTCAGGCTGTAACCCTCCCCGAGGGCCGCCGCCGTCATACCTTGCTGACGGCCAGCTGATGCATGTGTCGGAGAGCGTCAGCGAACGGCTGGTCGTCCAGGCTGGCGGCGGCCACCACGCCGTACAGCTCGGCGGCGTACAGGCGAACGGGCTCGCGCGGGTACGAGACCAGCGTCTGCCGGCACGTGGCGGCGTGGGTCGCACCGGCCGCGCACCGACAGCCGGGTACGGGCAGCCCAGGTCAGGCCCGGCGCAGCGCACGTTCTCGTGACCTAGGCTGGCGCCGGTGAGACACTTCCAGCCCGCGCGCTGGTGGCAGTTTGGTCTTATCGAAATATTTACTTACAGCTGGGTGCAAACGAGCAAGCGGGGCTACGTACCAATGGGAAGAAAAATGCGGGGATGAAGTCCAAACGTAGTAGGGAAATAACTTTCATGATAACGGCCAGGAGAACAGTGATGATGTTGACACAACTACTAGGTTTGCCGTACAATTATATGACATTGCTTTCGAACACGTCTCAGAAAGCTTTCATCCATCCCGGCACATTCTAAAGCACTAAGAGCGCAGCACTCAAGCACTCAAGCACATCTTCTCCTTACACCCCGCACAAATTTCACCTCAAGACCTCAGCCGTTTGGCAAAACAAAAACAACAACACACAACGGAGCCATCCGCAGGGCGAACGCACTCGTTTTCATCGCGCAGCCTCGTCCCCCACCGTTCGAATGTCTGCCATCGCTCCCGGCCGGCACCCGAGCCACTCGATCCCGCCCACAGGCCGGCGAGATGCGTCCCGCCTCGGTAGCCGTCGGCAGCCGGTCCACAACGCTGGCCGTCGCCGCCGGCAGCAGCGCCGCCGGCTGTACCTTGAGCCAGTCGAGCTTGTCGGCCAGCTGGGGGGCCAGCCGGCCGGGCGCGGCCGCCACCGTCTCCAGCAGACAGAAGAGCGGCGCGTCGGTGACGCTGGCGCGCAGCAGGCGCGTCGCCAGCCGCAGGTACGCCTGCACCGGGCCGGAGAGCGGCGGCGCCTGCAGCGCCACCGACAGGCCGGCGGCGCGGCCGCGCGCCAGCTCCAGCGTCACCGGCGCGGCCGGCGACGCCTGGTGTTGCAGGCACAGGCTCAGGTAGCGGATCATCTGCGGTGGAGACGCAGCGAGGAGTGCGGGGTACTCGCTGGTCGACACGAACGCATGGACGCCAACTCAGCCTCCCATCCAAGGCGAACCTTCGATGCCGTGCAGCACGCTGCGCGTTATTTTGAAGGAGGCATTTTTCATACCACAAATGACACCTCCGAACATTCACATTCTGCCTTCACAATTCGATTGCGTTGGTTATGCCTAGCCTGTGCCTTCCTCAAAGAACACGCACAATCACAACGCTACTCTCCCACAGGACGCCTCCGACGTTCCAAACAAAGCCAGAATCAGCATGACGAGACTAACCTGACCCCGACCCACCCTACAGCGCAGCTGACGTCAGAGGCCACTCTCCGTCCTCACCATCGCGAAGGCTTTCGGAGGAAACGGTAGGGTGCTGTTGCCTAAGGTTGTCACCAGCTTCTTGGCTTCCCGCTCGCCAGCCTTCTTGGTCACGCAGTTGACCATCTCCGCGAAGTCCGGGAACTCACGGGCCTTCGAGCTATCCTGCACATCCTTCTCCAGAATTTTGAGATGTTTCAGCGCTTCTGCGGCAACCTCTTCCTTGCTGTCAGTAAAAAAGAAATAGGCACCTTTGTGAAGCCAAGACAAATAACGATGCAATTCACAATGACGCGTCATAATAAGTGGCGACTTGGCATACCCAGTCTGGCAAACATCCATAGCACCCCCATCGACTAGCCGGCACCCCTATATAAATCCCTGTCTCCAATAAGGCCATGTTCACTAGCTCAACCCAGCCCCCTCCACTCTCACCCCACCCAAAGTGCCTAGTCAGCTCCTGCCTTGCAATCCCTGGTACTACTTTTCTCTCCAATCACATAGAACAGAACTGTTTTCTGGTTTCCTAGAAGCCTCGCATCTGGGAAACCAGAGGTGCGGGGATCGATTCCCCGCGTTGCTCGCCCTTGCTGCCAGGGCTGACAGGTAGGAGACATAACAGCTGAGCACGTCTCACAGCCCCAATGACATTTATAATACATGTACACACCATAATACCTCAAATGATACAAGCAGTGCCCCATCCACTCTAGCGGCATGAGCCCCGGCCTCTGCCGGCCTTGCTCCTGCACGCCCCCCGTCAGCACCTGTCGGCGGTGGCCAGCAGCAGCTGCAGTCGGGAGCCGGCGTGCCGCTCGGGGAACACCACCGCCCAGTACTGCACGGCCACCTGGCGGACGCGCACGCTCTCGCGCTCCAGACACGAGGTCAGCAGCGCCTCCATCACCGTCTGCTGCGCCTCGTCCAGCTGGCGCAGCGACGGCGCCAGCAGCTGCAGCGTGTCTTGCACGAACTGGCCCGTCTCTGACTCCTCCTGCGGCGGCGGGCGGGCACTGTCAGCGGTGAGGAGACGGCGGACGGTAACGGCGCGCAAAAGACAGGATTAGAGCCGCCCGGCAGCAGGGCCGGCGGCGGCGGCGGCGGTGCAGGGCTCTGACATGCCGGACCGCCAGTTCGGCGCGCGCCCCACCTGCTCGATGGCGTCGAAGAAGACCTTGATGACGCTGAGGTCGCGCGTGATGACGGCCGGCAGCTTCTGGCCGAGCTGGCCGACGGCGGTGTAGGCAGCCGAGCGGAGCCGGGCGTCGGTGCGCTCCTCCACTAGCACGCTGTGCAGTACGCCCAGGATCATGGCGCCCAGCTGCGACAGCCGCGCCTCTGTCGAGCTGTGGAGAGGGACGGGGCGCAGTTGAGGGGCGGCCGGGTCACGCAGTTGCGAGAGCCGCCCCTGGGTCAAGCTGTGGAGGGGCGGGGTGCAGGTGAGGGGCCGGCTGGATCACGCAGGTTGCAGACGAGTTGGATGTGGTTCAAGCAGCTGGGGGAGGAGGATCAGATGGGATGCAGAGAACTGCGGAGGAGGGTCAGAGGGGGTCAGAGCTGCAGGCACTCGAGACAGAGGTCGACCGTCGTGCAGACGGCTGTGAGGATGGGAGGGATGGGTCGGGTGGCCTGGGGCGACGCCTGGGAATAAGTCAGATGGGCCTCAGACAGATGCACGAATTAGAGGCGAGTGGCGACAGATGAGCGGCAGAAAGCAGTGGGCCAGGGAGGACGGGCTGGCTTACAGACAGGCGTGACATGAATGTGTCAGCAAGTTCAGTACGGGCTGTACAGAAAGAGGCGAGGGCTCCGCACAGCACACATATTTTGCAAGGAGTCAGAGGGTAGGAATCAGTTTTTAGGGCCGTCAGCGATTGCTGGAGGACGCAGCCCGACACCGGCAGCCCCTGTCCACTAAAACAACCACGGCAATGCCGTACTTGAAAGCGCGGAACAATGAAACCCAGGCGTGCAAAGCACTACAACAGATAGGTGCTGGAGGTGAAGCGCTCTATTTGCAAATGCTGTAGTGACGGTAACTCACTGTTGGATTATTTGATTGGTGAGCTGCAGAGCCAGCAGCTTCAACTTGGGATTGGTGTTGGTGCCATAGAAGCTGTCAAACATCACCTGTGGAATACCGAAATATTCGCTATTATCCTAAATGGAAACGTAGCTTTAGAGCAACGGCATCGCCATGAATCACACATGTTACCACAAAGTGTGACACAGACTACTGGAATCTGCCCAAATAAACAAAAATGACCAAATAAAGCACCGACATCTTTCACGTAAAATCCACGACGTTCTGGACGCTACGACAGCCTACTCTAGACAGCCAACCTCTCACCACCACCCGCTTCCTATACAGCACGACCGCCGGCCGGGACCCGACGAGCGGCGCTGGCCGCCGCTCCCCGTCCAGGGACGGCCGGCCTCACCTGGACCGACTGCGGGAACATGGTGGCGGCCGTGCGGGAGCGGGTCAGGTACGGCAGCAGCTTGAGGCGTATGCGCGTGCTGACCGGCTGGCGGCGCAGCTCCTGCTTGGGCGCCTGGCTCGGCTTGTCCTTGGGCACCAGCGTGCCCAGGTAGATGTCGCACAGCTTGGCGATCAGTGCCGGCTCCTCCCAGTCCAGGTCACTGCACGCGCCCCGGCACCGGTACAGACACGGCTGGGCCAGCTCACCGCACATGGCGTGCGGAGACACATCGACTGATAAGGTATGTCAAACATTCTCACCTGGCTCAAGATGCTGTACTGTACAAAAACTACTCAAACTTTTCACATTTTCACAAAGACCTCGCTATGCCCGGTTTCTGCACAGGACTGACACACACGCACACACACGCACCATATGCACTATATATATATATATATATATATATATATATATATATATATATATATATATAATATGGCTGGCTCTGGAGACATTCCCGGTTGGTTCAGCGCCTGCTCACCTGAGCCGCTTGAGCTCCATATCGGCTAGGTTGGCGACGGTGAAGCGGGTGTCGGCCATGGCGACCAGCAGATGGGGAGCCACACGCGCCGCCGGCAGCAGGCCCTGAGCCAGGAAGCGCACCAGGCCGGCCTTGAGCCGCTCCAGTCGGTCGGCCGGAGGCGGCTGCGGGCCCAGCGCGCGCCGCACGGCCCGCTCCGAGAGGCCCGGCGGCGGCAGCGGCGGCGCCGGCTCCTGGCCACCGCCAGCGGCGGCGGGGGCGGCGGCGGCGGCCGGCGGTGGCCACGTCACCCTGCCGACGGCACACCGGTCAGACAGCTGGCCCGGCCGCATCATCCCAATGGGGGTCCGCACGGCAGGATGAGGCACGCAAGACCTGTGGCATGGTGCGTACGTCCGCGGTCATCATGCAACAACTGAACGGGGTCAAATCGATCCCCATCGTCAGGAACTCTTAGTCTGCATACCCTATTGAGAGAACGTCTCAAAAAGTGCATCATTATGCTCTGTGGCACAACGAACTGGGATCAAAAGTCATTCCGTGTTTCAGCTTTCAGCACAGATGCGCTGGAACTTTAGCCCCATTTTGACCACCCCAGAAGACAGTGCCTGTCAGCAGACCCACCCACTCGGCGGGCCGCGGCCTCACATACCCGTAAGGCAGCAGCAGCAAGTCCAGCATGAAGTCCAGTAGCAGATCGAGCACGGCCGGCTTTTCCCTGAGGGCGGCGATGTCGGCGCGCGCTCGCTCGCCGCTAAAGTCTGCCGTGCCCAGCACGTCCGCCACCAGGGACAGCAGCCTGCGGGTGGGGAGGGGGTCACCAAAGCAGCCACGAGCACCACCGTGCCCAGCAGGTTCACCACCAGGGACAGCAGCCTGCGGGCGGGGGAGGGGATCACCGGAGCAGTCACGGGCACCACCGTGCCCAGCAGGCACGCCACCAGGGACAGCAGCCTGCGGGTGGGGAGGGGGTCACCGGAGCGGCCACGAGCACCACCGTGCCCAGCAGGCACGTCACCAGGGACAGCAGCCTGCGGACGGGGGAGGGGGTCACCGGAGCGGCCACGGGCACCACCGTGCCCAGCAGGCACGTCACCAGGGACAGCAGCCTGCGGACGGGGGAGGGGGTCACCGGAGCGGCCACGGGCACCACCGTGCCCAGCAGGCACGTCACCAGGGACAGCAGCCTGCGGACGGGGGAGGGGGTCACCGGAGCGGCCACGGGCACCACCGTGCCCAGCAGGCACGTCACCAGGGACAGCAGCCTGCGGGCGGGGGAGGGGATCACCGGAGCGGCCACGGGCACCACCGTGCCCAGCAGGCACGCCACCAGGGACAGCAGCCTGCGGGCGGGGGAGGGGGTCACCGGAGCAGTCACGGGCACCACCGTGCCCAGCAGGCACGCCACCAGGGACAGCAGCCTGCGGGCGGGGGAGGGGGTCACCGGAGCGGCCACGGGCACCACCGTGCCCAGCAGGCACGCCACCAGGGACAGCAGCCTGCGGGCGGGGAGAAGGCCATCGGAGCGGCGAGGAGGCCGTTACGGAGTCAACCGCCGGAGTCAACCGCCGGAGTCAACCGCCGGAGTCAACCGCCGCCCGTGCAGCATTCTGGGGTGTCATAAAAGTTGGTTCCAGGCCCACGTGGCGGTAAAAACTTTACACTCGTCGACCGGGGGTTTTGCTCATCTTCACCGGGCACCGGAGAGGTCATAGAACCCTCCACTACGTAGATACTACACATAAATACCGAATCCCAAATATAATACAGCCAAGAAGAGGACAGTGTTGCATAGCTGGCGGATACCTTACACAGGTCAGTGTCATGTAACATTGGTGAAAGTGAGCCGCCATAGCTTCCACTTCAATGGGGGTAAAATTGTGAATTTGGGCCTGCTTTATACATTCCAAACTAGGTATGCTCCAATAGCAAATGTACCTGACACTATGAATCTTATAGCCAACAGCTGGGTGTAACATCAAAAACATCAAATGATGTCACGCAGGTCAAGCCTTTTGTGCATAGGTTGCCTCAGGTTATGTCACATACTAATCGTGCCTGTTGTACTCACAAGCACTCAAACACTTGTAATCAAGCACTCACGGGTCTTGATGAGACTGTGGGCTGTCCTCCAGACTAATGAGCATTGAGATGGCCAGCTCCGCCTGCTTGGCCAGGTCCAGTCGAGGGAAGCCCATCTTCAGGTAAATCACTGTAAAATTCTGCAAACAAATGTGCGGAGCAACATCACTGTTTGTGAGACAACATCATAAACACAGTGTGTGATACAGTGATACATTAACACAGTGCAAGGAACAAGCATAACGTGAAACAAAAATGGACTAACCCCAAGTCAAAAAGTGACGCCACCCTGTTGCCATGCATGTCATGCATCTGTATCACACAAGATGCACATCGGCACAAAACATCAGTCAGTGACTGCCTCTGGGCACCTTGAGGAAGCTGGTGGCTGCAGGGTCCTGGTACTGCAACAGCAGCGTGTCCACGGGTAGCTTGACGGCCGGACGGCTCTTCAGCCGTTTGTTCACGTGAACCAGCAGCTCCATCACCTGATGAACACAGGCCAACGCATGCATGTCGGCTTCGTCACAGCCGACGGGAGACAGGCTCGAAATGGTCGCAACAGGAGGCGGACGTTTTCTTCTGCCAATATGCAATGCGCCAACTGAATGCAGGCCCACAAGTGTTTGTAGAAAAGTTGTAAATGATGAAATCCAGCATGCCCGCAGTTAAAACAAGTTTGAGATCATATCAAGATCAAGATAAACAAGAAATATGAATGATTTCAGACAAATCACACATTCCAAATTCAATATATAGCTGAAATATACCAATGCTGGAACATACATAAAACAATGTGCACACTGGATGATTTTTCTGATGACACTGGAAGACATTCCAAATTCAGTATATAGCTGAAATCTATCAATGCTGGAACATACATAAAGCAATGCACAAACTGGATGATTGCGGTCAATTCTAGCTGCCTGGCTATGCTGATTTGTGTTTATCATCCCAAGTGCTGAGCTACAGGAGCTCAAGGCATTTCAATTGACGTGCCATTCCAAGCTAGTACAAATTTAACTTCTCACAATGCTGGTGAAAGCAAGGTGTGGCCTGAAAACTCAGTCACAGTGGTTGGCCACTATTCCGTGGTCACACAAGCAGTGTTCACAGTTAATACAAAATCCAATGAGACAATGCAGACCATGGAACAAACCTTTTTCCTAACTCCTTCCTGTGTGCTGGACAGTTTGAGCAGTACTGGTGGCAGGAACTTTGAAAGAGCATTTTCCAGTTGCTCATCACTTTCGGCTGATCCAATGCGCAGGAACACCCGCTCCACCAGAGCTGAAAGCGATAATCATACTTCACTAAAATCCTGTTGTCATATACACAATGTCTCAAAAAGCTGACCACTTAGCACGTTTTCATTTCCCCAGAAGTTTTGAGCCATTGTGATATGGCTGAAGGCTGCATTGAAGGTGGGGGATTCAGGAAGGCATCACCACCACGAACGGAATCAGCGTGCGGAAATCGCGCTTGTCTGCTATGCTAGCATTGTACACAAGGTTTTCAACAGTGACAGATCTGGCTGTCGACAGGTGTTATGGAGTCCTAAATGCCTTCTTCATCACACCTCAAAAAACACCTGACGACTGACCGAAAGTTCACAGGTCGAAATGCTGTGCAAATACTAAGATGCCAGACAGTGATGATAGTCCATACAATTGTTGCACATGTGCTATTAATGCATCCAATTCTTCCAGAAAACTACCAGAGATAACTACTTTTGCCCAGGTTTACATACAAAATGAAGACAATTGTGTACCTCTTGTACTCATACATGACTACCTTACATACACGTTTTGTGCATCATGGGTGTTGGAGCAGTAAATTTCCTGCTAGGTTCAGGGCTAAAGATTTTCCTAGCATTGTAGTGCACCATTTTTGTGATATGTGTAAACACAGCTTAAATAATAAATAAATGGTGAAAAAGGTTGAATATTCCTCTGGACTGTTGAGAAATACTCAATAAGCCCACAATTCAAAATGAAGAATTATGAATTGTTCCCTGATCATGTTGTGCCATGACAAAATGGCAAAGTGCAGAATTTGCTGAAACCTTAATAGACTTGCCCCCAAAATCATAGGCAAATTGTGTGCTTCAGATTTGAAGGTGTCTGTACTTTTGTACCCAAACAAAAAGTAAATGTCCCAGCCTGGAATGTGGTTCAAATTGTTTTTTATTGGCACATTTCTGACATTATTAAAAACCTCAATGACTCAGTTATACAACCTAGTCAGCAGATGTTCAACATGTTGCATTAATTCCTATGGAGCACCATGTACAGCTGTAATAAAAGATATGAATGAAGTGTGCTTTGCTAGGATTTTTGTCTGAGCTGTTTTAAGCTGAAAATGCAAACTGTCTTTTTAGCTACATCACTTGCTCAAATAACAGCGTGAGCAGATTGCTTGGATGACTATGGGTTCCACACACCACAGAAAGAGCTTGTCGCATGCACCCTTACTAGTGATTTTGTCTCTAGTGTTTCCTCCAAAAAGAATCCCCTAGGATTCTCCATCCTGTGCAATACTGTGACATGCCAGCCAAAGCTAGCCCTTCCCAGCTTGGCCCCTTGCAAACTGGCCATTCATGTCAGTTCAGCCTAAAATAAGCCTATTCTGGTTGTTGTGCCCAGTACAACCAGTGTCTTAGTGTCCAGTACAATACCTTTCCCCTAGATCAGAAGCAGCTACAGATAGGGGTTAACAGAAGGTCTGATTGAGCAGCTGATTTTTGCCACTCCAACTCACATTCCCAATGAAAAATTCCTAGAAATAATCGAATCCTAAAAAAACAGTTTGCTGATTTCAAAATGGGGTGAATGGGCATGTACAATCAACCAGGCAATCAACCACCTGCAGCAGGTTCAGCTGTTGCATCCTAGACCACCAACAAAGCCATGCGCAGTATGTTTTGTCACCATGATTTGATGCATGTAAAATTCATTTTTAATTTGAGCCACCCTGTGCATCACTGAGACAAAACATCACCTATACTTATTGTTCCAGCAGTCTCATCACAAACCAGCACAAAGAGTTGTGGCAAATATCTTGATACCAGTGATGAGCATCATGGGCATCCTTGCTGAAGATTAGGCATCATTATAGGTAGCGAGCCTTTTACATCTTCCAAAAGGTACCTCCTGATATTTCCCTTTTTGATGTGGCATTTATTTTTTAGAAAACAACTTTTTATTGACAACAATGTTGAAACATTTCAATGATTGTTTTCCAAAAATGGCAACAGCAACTGTGTCACCTGTTCTTTATAATGCTGCATAACAGAATTGCTCCTATGAATTTTCCCACCTAATTTTCATGCCATAAGCCAACTGGAATTACAAATGAGGGGAGACTATGTAATGTGCAGTGTCTAAATATACTGTAAATGCATTGCCCACCCCTGGAGCTCAATGTGATGCTGCCTGCCTACCTATCATAGAGTGGGAAGGTTCAAGTGACTTAAACACTCATCATTGCCCCTTGCTGAGAAGGTGTGGGAGTGGTGGCCACACTGCAAAAAATATACCTGATGCCAAGTTTGTCTAATGTAGCAATAGCAGCCTGCATTGAGTGGAGCAAATCTGAGAATGGCACATGGTAACCAGGAATTTCAGGAAAAATGAAGTCACTGCTTCAAGGAATTATGATGTTGCTAAGGCTATTTCATGCAGGAGCCTTGCCCAAAGATTTCTCCATGATAAATGGCTAGACAATTCAGCACAATTTAGTCATCGGGGCTTTATGATGCACTCAGCTGCTGAGGCTATATGGCAGCACAATTTAGTCTAGCCTCAGTTTGATACATGCATACTTTAGGCTCAGTAAAGCATAGCCACATAGGCATTTCAGTGCAGTGGGTGGAGTCTGCATCTCAGTCAATGGCAGTAGCCACACAAGGTCAGGTGGTCAGCGGACTGTGCCGAGCAATAACGTGCATGAAATGCTTGGCAATTAAATTCTACTCAACTGGAAATCCATGATTGTATGGTGTTGTGGTGGTGACACAGTTTATAAAAACAATGCCCAGCATGGGCTCTGATCCCAGAAAACCTGTCCACTTCATGCATTTGGACTTAGTTCATGTGTGAATAATAAGTAACAATCACATTTTCCACTTGCTAGACACAAAACCATGTTGCATAGCCATCTAAGACTGGGTCACTCAGATAAGTGAGTAAAACTATGGATGCAAAATGAGCGAAACAATGCATGACCTGCAAATCTTGCAGTGAACTGCATGTGATACACAAAGTCCCAAGCCGCGCCAGTACTGTCTCTGACCGTCAACGACGAATTTCACAATAACCTACTCATAAAAGTGGTTCACCAGCTTCCTATCATTGCACAAAAGGGGTCTCCAAGACTTTCCTACCCACTTGTCGCACACATTCATGCCAGGTAAATAAGCAAATGCATTACCTAGCTCATCCTGAGTGCCCGGCGGAGGCGCCATGATTGCCGAGTATTCAGCATAACAGAGAATGACTAAAACAGTGAGCGAAGATATCCCTATACATAAGGGAGAAAACCTTGGTAGCTAAGAAAAACTTAGCTGTCTAACAAGATTATGGAAATAGAAACCACACAAATGAATTTTTAAATATTTAATAAACTAAATGCCGTAGTTTTGCTATATTGTGTAAATTATTGCAGGGCTGAAGAATGCTAGCTGCAAGGGAATTCCTCAAAACGAATGCTATTCCTCTCCCGATGTCTACAAAAGATACCAAATTCTGTGCACGTCGGATCTGCGTCATTTCTGTATTTTGTACACTATTTCTGGTTTGATTTAGGGGCAGTGACGCCCGTGTGATAGGGTTTGGCTTTGGACGCATTTGGTGGTAAATGAACGTATAAGGGTGGGAGAGGCCGTTGCTGTTGCCATCGCTGTCAACCGCAGCTATTCCACCTAGGTATGTCTGTGTAGGTAGATACGGTGGATTTCAAGTGGATGTTACCGGCCTAGAATGTTGTCGTCACGCCAGCATAGCTTACAGTACAGATTACATGCTGGTTGCACCGCCAGAAATGAACTTATTTGTGCTCATCACGTTTAAATGACACCAGTTTGGTAGGTTCGTTTTCATGTGTGATGTAGGATTAGAATGTGAGTGAGCAGCTGATAGTAATGTCTCTGCTTTCTTCAAGTAGTTCATCTCCTCTAAGAAGCAATCTCTGATGTCAGACTGAGGGCAAAAATCATATCAGATCTCAGTATGGATGTTTTTGTGAAACTTGAGGGTGCAGGCCAGTGTGCATCAAGTCCATCCACCATGCAGACCGCTATGTGATTGAGCTGTGCTACACATTAGTCATATGTGTGAAACACAGGCCAGGCTAAATTTCTCTGAATTTCAACTTGTATAGGAAAAAATGTTTGTAGAATATATTTGTGTGGCATCATCATTGTGACATAATTCCTGGAAACTTTGGTGTCATGCACTGAAGATGATGACCACGCACAGATGGTATGCTTGCAATGAAATTTTTACTGGGATGTTACTGTTACAGAAGACTTATTCACTTGGGCTTGTTTGGTTTTGGTTGCAGTCATGGCTATAGCAGGTAGTTACTTACCTGGTCTTGCTGGCACCCTGAGTCCATCATTATTTTTTAATGAGCTTCAATTTGGGGTAGTTCAACAGCTTCTCACCTATAGCCCTCATGTAATATAGCTCTTACACATTTATCCCAAGTACTCACAGGCCAGTCTTCAGATGATCAATCTGTTAGTTTGGATAGCTTCATTACACTGATGCACTGAACCTGTTACATGTATTTAGCAATCTCAGCTGAGTGAATTGTGCTAAATTGTGCTAAATTTTGGGGGGGTAGATATTGTTTGTGAAATTTTTTCAGAGATGCAATTAAAAGCATGATTTCAATATTCTAAGTCTTTGAAGCATTTCCTTTACATGCTGCAATTCATGCTGAACTGGGGGACCATTGCTCCACTTATGATGTGTAGTTTATAGAATGCACACACTGAAATTGTGGCTGTGGATTTTCCTGCTATGTTGAACATGTTTGGCATACTGTGCATGTTGTAGTGTGGCTCACAAGTTCATCATAAAAGACTTGGGCATATTAGCTTGCATCCAATTTCTTTTCAACAGGACGGAATGGTGAACCGAATTGTGTAGCCTGATCATCTAGCCTGCAATGGCTCTGGAGGGTTGGAGTTTGTTTCAAGTAGCAGGATTTTAAGGCACTTATTTGCATGCAACATCTCCTTCAATCAAGGGCATGCTTGATCTGAGGCAAGCATTCTATGAGCAACTGAATAGCATGCTCTGAGAAGTGAAATTGGGCAGTCATGAGGGATTCTCAGTTGCAGGAAAGGTGTTAGCTCCTTAAGCATTGTGTTAATAACACTGTTAACAGGTGTAGCCCAGGGCTAGCACTTGTTCAAGGAAAAATAATTTGTACATAAACAGGAGGGCTCTGCATCTGAAGAAAAAGGACTCATTGTGGAGGACTCTATGCTTGATCAAAAGATGTAGTTGATTATGCTAAGTTCATGGGGCATTGAAGTGATTTCAGAATTCTCACAAGAAGCTTTTGTAGTGAGTTAAAAAATGCATTGCTGAATATATGAAATCTGACAAAAGGCAAAAAGTGTGGCAGTACACTAACTTGCTATTAAAAACTAACACAGGCATCAATATCTGCATGATCAAGATGCAGTGATTAGGAGCAATGACTTTGAAAAGGCCGGCATCCCAGACACATTCTTCAGTGATGTTAATACTGAAGAGGATGCTTCAGTTGTCCCAGAATCATCTTGGCTGCATGACAGACCTGGGTAAGACAATGTAGAAATTTTGAATGCATTGGTGCTGGAAAAGCTAAGAACACTGAAAGCATCCAGTTTCTGTGGGGCCTGATGGACTTTACCCTAGCATACCATATGATACCATATGATACCATAGATACCATATGAGGCAGCTGAAACAATCTACTTTCCACTGGCTGCTCTGTTCCTAAAGCCCCTAGAGTGTGGCAGCTTACCTGAGAGTGGAAACTGGCCCCAGGGTTTGGTCCTGGGGCCACTCCAGTGCCTGTCCAAAGAAGGGAGATCAACAGTCACCCATAAATTATTGGACTCATCAGTGGGATTGCAATACCTTGCAAGATCCTGGAGTCCATCATCAGGGGCCATTGATGACTTACTTAAACTCGTCTGGGCAGCTACCAGCACCAGCATGGATCGCTCTGAGAGGTCGTGCAGCAGTCAGCTACTGGAAGTCTTTGAGGATTGCAGTAGAATGACCAAGCCAAAACCAATTGGTGCATTATAGGTGGATTTTCACAAGGCTTTCTTTTCTGTTCCTGCACAAATGCCTTAGCAACCAACGGTGTGTCCGGCGAATGGCTCCAGTGGATTGGAGCTTTTCTGACTGACTGGCAACCAAGGCTTGATATCAGGGAGGCTCACTCAAAATGGCCCTGTCATCAGTGGCACCCCTCAGAGTTCAGTCTTGGGGCCACGCCTGTTCATCATTTGCATAAACGACGTGCCTGATGTGGTGACCTCCTCACTCAAAATATTTGCAGGTGACACCAAATTATACAGCAGTCTAGTTTCAGCTGGCGAAATTAAAGAGCTCCATCGAGACCTTCGCACTATCATCCAGTGGTCTGACAGATGGCGGCTCCCATTTAACAAATCAAGTTGTAAAGCTCTGCACATTGGGTTCACGAATCCGGAGCACACATATAATATGCGGGGTTCATATCTTGAAGCAACACTGGTCGAGAGAGACTTGGGCGTCACCTGGACCCTTACCTAAAATTTCGGAAACAGGCAGCCTCCGCAGTCTCAAAGTCCACCCAGCTGCTGTCGTATTGTGTAGATCCCTCTAGAACGTCGATGCACAAACGTTACCTTTGTTGTGCGAGGCCCTCGTGAAACTCCACTGATAGCACGGTAACATCATGTGGGGGCTAATTAACGGGACCAAAAGCCTGTGGAACAGATGCGACGGTGTGGACTAAAATTATGTCAAATACCATGGAAAACCGTATTTACAACGACTCCGGCATTGGGAGCTACCTTCGCTGTATTACCGAAGACATCGTGGAGAAGTGGCAGCCATGTACCAGCTTCTCCACTCAGGGATATAGTTGAATCCTGTTCGTTTCTCAATCGGCGCTGGCGACTACTCGAGGCCACCGCTGCAAGCGCTCCAAACCGCGAGCATCATTCAGAGTTCGCAAATATGTCCACCGTATACGCGCCATCAGCGGCTGGAACAGTCTTCCCTCGGAGGTAGTTCTGCCTGCGTCCCTGAGCCTCTTCAGGTCCTGGCTCGATCATCACTGGGCCACGAAATGTACCATATCCCAATCGAAGACCAGGTCTAGTCAGAAACCACATGAGCTTGGCGATAACGTGCCCTACAGGTCTTTGTCTGTCTGAATCCTGATAAGTGTATGGTTAGGGTTTGGTGCAAGTGCACTGTAGATTTAGGAAGGTGGGATTACTTGTTGCTTGTCACCTTTCTGTGCCAGATTTGTGCTGCTGCTTAAATCATGACAGTTACTCGAATGATTCTGCACACAGTGTAATGGGTTCATTGTTGGAGTCCACAATCAAGGAAATCCATGTCATGCCAAGGAAATCCATGCAAGTTACATGTGCTTCACTGTGAGTTGCATGTTCAAAACCAACATATTGTCACCTAGTGGCCATGTTTCAAACTGACAACTTTCTCTGGCAAGTAATCAATCACTGGTGGTGCTGTGATTGGTAGGTTCAAAGTGACATATATTGGGCAATTCCTAGAATGTACCTAGTTCTGAAAATTAAAATACATTAAGCTGTGAGTTGCCCCAGACACTGCTGTTCGCGTATAACCTTGCATTTCATGCATTGTGGCTCTGAACATCATGTCAAGTGTAATGAAAAGAATTCATACATCTTTCCTCACAACACAGTATGATGCAGTTAAAATGCTAGTGCATCTAGTGATGTCGAAATTTCCTTGTTAGTAGGCATATTTTGCTTCCCCTCTTTTTACCATGCTTTCTTGTTTCCACAGACACTGATCTAGGAGGGATTCAAGGGGACCATGGCAGCATCATTGGATCCACATGACAGGTCAAGGTAACGAGCCTATCGAGGTTGGCATATTCCATGTTCTTTCAGTAATCCTGTATTCTGCCCTTGAGTGTGCCTCATATTGTTTCAGTGGCATATGGTCACATTGTCCTGATTGGACTGCCTTCACCTTACAAACTGTACTGCTCCACAGGCTGATGTGTCCCATCGATCTGCCTGCGGTCGTTGACCCAGACGTTTCCAGGTGTTTCCATGTTTGAATTAGTGCTTTGGGTAGATGTTGGATCAGGATGCCTCTGCTGCTGTTGAGATGATGCTGTCCGTGCTTCAGCTGGTACTTCGGCCAGATGTCACGTCAGGATGCCACTGACCTGCTGATGTCGGAGCGTGAGGGCGGCGTATTTCTGGTGCGAGACTCCACCAGTATCCAGGGCGACTATGTACTGTGTGTCAGGGAGGACAACAAGGTGTCCCACTACATCATCAACAAGATACAGAGAGATGGCCAGGTGCGGGTATTGCCTGGAAACTTGTGACTGAAGTGTATGTACTGCTCATCAAATTTTCTTAATGGCAACACTGCCTCCCCCCCCCCTTATTCAATGTGTTGCATTTTCGTATATCGTTGTAATATTCTCATTTACTCGAGTATAATTAGCATACCTTTCACTTAATTGTGTTGACATCATGCAGTACACTCCGAGTGACATCACTGAAGTACATCATAGGCATGTATGTAGTGCACATTATCTCAAGTTTAAGTGGTCATCCATTGTCTATCACCATGCTTTTTACTTGCAGGCATGCTATGCTTGCAATGTCTTGCAAAGCTGTTTTCTATCACATCCTATGATGAGCATCACATTCAGCTGCTCCCTCAAACAGGCATTTTGTCCACAGTGGCTCCACCTGGCCATGATTTCATGACCTGGACTATTCCACAGACTATGTTCCGGATCGGAGACCAGCAGTTCCCCGACCTGTCCAGCCTCTTGACCTTCTATAAGAGTCACTATCTGGACACCACACCCCTGGTTCGGCCAGCGCCAAAGAGGATAGAAAAGGTCGTGGCCAAGTACGACTTCGAAGGCAGGGTAGGTCACGTCTCATACCAAGACCGGCAGTCGCGTAAACTTTGGTGGCTCATGGCGGGAAATGGGCGCCAAATGTCATCCATGTTGCAGCCTGGTACAAGCTTCAATTTGCCAATGGTGTACCACGCTAAATGGCGCCATTCTGGGCAAGTTTATTGAGTGCTCTACTGCTCAGTTTATGTTAATTATTTTTTTTTTTCTCTCGGAAACACCAGTTCGTTCGTGGTAAACGTCGTCCAAAGCTTTACCCCACCCTTTCAAATAATTATTTTTACAGTATTTCATGGCTATTGTCATGTCAGAGGCAGACGTCCCGTGATCGAGGAAAAACGGACTTGGGCTGATATCATGTCAGTTAGCCGTGGCGGTGTTGCCGAGATTGCGTGTTGGCATGTATGTGTTCGCCGCGGGCAGCTACGTCACTGCGTGGTCTGTCGGACCGCTTACAATGCGCCTGCTCCGTCAGGACGCTGAGGACCTTCCGTTTAAGAAGGGTGAGGTGCTGACGGTGGTGACTAAGGACGAGGAGCAGTGGTGGACGGCGCGCAACAGTTTGGGACAGACCGGCGCCATCCCGGTGCCCTATGTGCAGAAGGTACGGTGCTTGGCCTGTGTGCCGGATACGTCCCTGGTGTAGCGCAGCGTTTCTGCGGAGCTCAGATGCGGCTGTTTGGCCACCACTTCCCAGCTACCTGCACACCCTCTGCATTGTGAAGTGCATGCTGGTATTGCGTAGATTGTGAGTGATCATTCAAGACAAGTGTTTTTGGCCCCCGGCATGGCACGCCACGTGCTATTCGTTTCGTGATAGCCAGTCGCAAACACTATGCGTGGTTGCATAGTATTATAGTCGATGTGGATGTGGATTATTGTAGTGGATGTGGATGCCTGAGTTTCAATTTTTTTTTACCCTGAGCAGTTTATGCAAACGGCGGCTCATCACAGAATAACCCATGGATAGTTGAAGCATGGTTTGCGAACTTGGGTCTTCAGGTACGTTGTGTACAGACGTCCGGTTCTGCGGGCTTGGATATCGATCCTGCATTGAATATAGATACAGTGCATGCAAGTTTTATTAGGGGCTTCCGGTGACGCGGCACATTCTGTGTGTCCGTGAATTGTACTATTCTTGCTCCGGGCATTACTCGTATACAGTAGGCGGATTATGAGTGGGATTTTCTTCTTGTTTTCCACACCTTAACTGTGGTATTTATTTTTCTATCGTGGCCTCGTTTCCTCTACCAAGACAGCCTTTGATGCCGGTAGGATGAATATTCTCACACAGAGACAACTGCATACGTTATGCACGGGGAGCATATGTTTTTCTATTTCTATTTTCGGCGCCGTTTCGCAGCAGCTTAAGCCACTGTCTCGCAGAACACCCGCATGAGCACGCGTATATACAGTACATGTGTCGTCAGTCTGGGCCTATCGGGAACTCCCGAGCCTGGTGGACAGGACTACTCCTATGACCGGCAGTGATCCTCAGGGTAGGAGGACACCAGCCGGAGAGCCTGTTTAAAAGCAGGCCACCGTGTCCGCAAACCCGCTCCCGGGGCCGGTGGCTGGCGCGGCGTCGGTGCCGCGGCGGGGCAATGCCTCCTCATTGGCTGCCGTCTGCCGTGTGGGCGCCACCTTGCTGCGAATGGGACGCTGAGGGCGCGTTCTGACGGGGCTGGTGTGCCGTTCCAGTACGAGGAGTCAGACTCCAAGCCGTCCATGGGTGTCACCAGCGTTGGCAGCGTCATCTCAAAGGAACTGACGGGAAAACCAAAGATAAACCTCCAGGTGAGTTGGGATAGAGATATCGGAGGGGTTTTCTGCAAGTGATAGAGCTCTCGGATGGTTTTTCTGTGAGTGATAGAGCTCTCTCAGGGTCTTTTCTCGGGGTTATAGAGTTATCTGAGGGGTTTTCTCGGAGTTTGGGTGAAGCCACACTGCGCCAACTAGCTCTGCGGACGTAGGCAGCAGGTTCGGCCTTCATGGCTTCGGGCCCTCTGCCGGTGAGCGGCAGTGATTAGGTGCCACCCAGCTTGTTTGGGCGCCACGCATGGTCTGCGTGGTGCCACGCGCTTCGAAATGGTTTTGAAGCGTGCAAAACGTCAACACGTGGCGTCGTTTTACCATGTCATGTCACTTTCATTACCGTGTGGTAATGATGTATCGGGCTGGAAGGGAGCTAGCCGTGGATAGTTTGAACTGGCGGTATTTTTGCTGACAACGGCTGCTTTGATGCTTTTTCGACCCTGTGTGTTTGTTCCAGCGTGATCTGCCGGCGGAGGCGCGAGTGAACAAGGCGCGAGTACCCAACGCTTATGACAAGACTGCGCTCAAATTGGAGGTCGGCGATATCATCAAGGTTACCAAAATGAATATAAATGGACAGTGGGAAGGGGAGTTGAACGGAAAGCACGGACACTTTCCGTTCACGCACGTAGATTTCCTTCAGGATCTGCAGGACGGCGATGCCCGCTAGCGACATCTACGGCCCCGCGCAGAAGACTCGTCTCGCGTCGCGGCCGTCGTGTGTCGCCTCGGTCGTGTGTTACGCTACGGCCGGCGCTACCCTGCCGGTGGCTGCGCACAGGACCGGCGCTCTGAGGGCGGTGTCCCGAGTCGGGCAGAGCGTCGGCCTCAGGAGCAGCGTCTTATCGGAGCGTGCTCTCTTTCTCTCTCCTCGGCTGGGAGTGCTCGCCGGCCGGGAACCGCTGACGTCATCCACGTGCGTCCAAGGGCCGGGCGCCGGCGCTGGCGAGTCCGCCGCGATCCGCGCGTGACGTGGCGACGGCAAGCGCGATAGACAGGGTGCTTGTACTAATCCAGCTCTTCGCCGGCTCCACGAGATAACAGTCCAGGCTGAGGGGTTCAGTGCACGGCACCGCGTTCGAAGTGGTGCCTTATCGAGTTTTTAGTGTGAGCATTTTCCCCTAGGCCAGCCATGTACTTCTTAGAGCAAAGCCACTTGTTTTGTCATGATCTTACCCCTCTCGAAGCATGTACGTGCGTGTACATAACATGTTGTTTATTCTGTTAATGGACGTTATCGCTGCTGCGGCCAGCGCCTCGCCCGGCTGTCCCGCTTACGTGCGTGCCGCGGCCGCGGCCTCTCCCGTAACGTGTGGGTGCGTGACATATCCTGCCAGCGCGTGCTGTTGCGCGGCGCCCCTGGTTTTTGGCTCGGACTTCTTGTCTGGGCTCCCCGATCGAGGGCGGCCCGGACCGTTGTCGCGCGTTTGTACTGAGATGAGGCCGTCGGCTGTTGAGGACGAATACTATGTTGCCACGAGTGTGTGTG